CCCATTGTCATCTCTTCTTCATATTCTTACATGAATTATTCTTTTTACTTTGTTTGAATTATTGACATCTCAGTTTTTTTCCTATTAATTGTTGACATCCTTAGTTTTTCTCCTAAATTCAGTGGTTGGAGAGTTTACCCACCAGATACCCAGGAAACTGTCCAAGATTCCTTTCCTTGTTTGTCAGGATTTATCGCTTCCCCTAGTTCCCCTTCCCAAAGCACACACGTTTGGAGGTCAGTATGTACATACTGGCTGTGTGTACATAGTAATACATGCACATGTATTTCTAATATATCTTGCTAGTGATTTTTAAAGGTCTTTTTCCCAAAGGGGGAAGAATTGCATAATACTTAGTTTTATGTTTAATTTTTCCTGCCAGTATGATATATTGTAGACATCTAAATATTTGCATTGAATCTTTACTGTGCTGTCACTTGAGTGCTGCTGACTCTTAAACCCAGTCTACTAAAGGTAGGTTATTGTTTTTCTATGTTAGATTTTCTCATATTACATTAGCCTTGAAGCCTATTGACTTTTCCCCAATAGTCAATTTGTTAAGTTTTTAACAAATTCCATATTGATTGTATAGTTGAACTCCTTATTTAAATGATTTTTCCTAAAATTCCACTTCATGGTTCCACATAGTAAAAAATCAAGATTCCAGTCATACACTTAAAACACAAATTCAAGTTGTATTAGGACCCTTGCTCTGGAACAGTCTTGATAGCTACACCAGCATTTAAGAATTGTTATCTATTGACTGGAAAGGTGTGTGTGTGTGTGTGTGTGCGTGTGTATATATATATATATATATATATACATATATATATAATGTGGTGATTACCTCTTGCAGTATTAGGATGGTTTAAGAAGGAACATTAGTTTTATTTGTAATACAAATCTGAGTCTTTTTCCCATTTTTAAAAATTGGGTTGTTCAATTTTCAGTTTTTAAACATTCTGCTCAGGTATACTTTGTCAGATGTGATTTATTTTCTCTAGCGTCTGTTCCTAAATAGTCAGTTTTTTTCACTTATGTATTATGCTTTTGGTGTATGATAGTATCTGAGAACTCTTCTTTAAACCAGGGTCACAAAGATTCTTTTTTTCATCCAGAAGTTTTAGACTTTGAGGTACATTTTGACTTACCATCACTTTGAGTTAATTTCTGTATATGGTACAAGGTATGGTTTGGTTTTTGGTGTTACTCTTTGTATACAGATGTCCCGTTGCTCCAGCACCATTTGTGAAAAAGCACTTTCTCCCTCCATTGATAGGTCTTTTCGCCTCTGTCACAATTGACGGTGTATTTAATGAGTCTATTTTTAGACTCTTCTTTTCCATTAGTAATACTACATTTATAGTAAGTCTTGAAATCAGATGGCATAGGTCTTGTAACTTTTTCTTTTTTGAAAATGTTTTGGCTATTCTAACTTCTTTTCCCAAGTAAATGTTAGCAATAGCTTGTTGATTTCTTTACACACACCCCACACATACACTCCCCAAATAAACCACTTGCAAATTTGATTGGGTTTTACATTAAATCTATAAAATCATTTTAGAGAACTGACAATACTGAGTCTTCCCATGACTTTAGTTAGTTCAGTTTCTCACCAGCAATTTTCAACACAAAATCTTGTACAAATTTAAATTTATATCTTAGTATCCCTGTTTTTGATGTTATTGGAAGTGGGCATAATTATTTTATAGATGAGGGAAAAAGTAACTTGCCCAAGCTGAAGTGGCAAAGCCAGTATGAAACCTACATTAGCACCACTATCCTGGTTTTCATTATGATACTGGTTTTCTTATTCTGAAATCATGGTTATAGTGGTGGCAGAGAGGAAGCCCTAGTTTTATGACAAGAAAAATCCCATTAACCATGCAGATGTTGAGTTGATTCCAGAGTTTATGATTTCCTGAGTTTAGGTTTTCCAGATCTGCTCAGATTGTAAACCATGCTTGTCTTAATTTAGGAGCTTCTGATCAGTACAGTTGTGAACTAGTGTAAGGTAAGGTATATCTTACCCTGTAGTATATCTTGCCCTAGTATATCTTACTAGGTAAGGTATATCTTACCCTGTAGTTAACTAGTATGAATTATTTCATTTTTAAAAATACATACCCTTAGCATTTGAATGCCTACCATGTGCTCACTAGTACAGATACAAAGATGGTTTCTTGAACAACTCCCATGGGAGGCTAGGTGGGAATACATTTATTATAGTAAGTATTATAGTACACACTGTAATAAGTACATACACATGGTCAGTGATGGAACAAAAGCTTTTACTTGGTTGCAGTTGAGAGTAGCTGTACTGTTGTTTCATGTTTTAGAATTCCTTTTAAAAAATAATTTGAAAACAGTTAAGTGGAAAGCATGTAAAGGGCTTTGAGAGGGAGAAATCTGTCAGTCATTTCATAAGGATTGCTTTTGCACTTGATGGGGAATCCTTAGGAAAGACCAGTTAATGAATAACCTAGGCATGGTAAATACAGTATGGTGTCATACGGTGTAGGAAAGTAAAAAAGGTTCAGTATGAGTTTCATTTTGAAAGGTGAGGAACAATATTTGAGTTTTTACATTAAGCCTTCATTTTTTTCATTTGTGGATTTCTTCTGACTTAACAGCATTTTGATAAATGTATTAATGAGTTAATTTGTAATCTGAATTTGCTCTTCATATCTTGAGTATTCTAATGTTTCAATCAGTTAAATATATTGAGGATTTACAGCTTAATTTTTCTTGTTTATTTTTCAGATTCCCTTGTGAATGATAGAAATGAAAGTGAATGGATAGTCTTATCAGATAAGTATGTTTTGAGTCTAAATATATTTGATTTTTTTCCATAAGATGGCTCTACTAGTACTTATCTTTATTTGAAACAATTTTGTTACATTGTATCATGACAGCTGGCATATCAGCATGCACTTCAAAAAATGTTATAAAAATGGGTGAATTTTTGTGTAGCTATATTAATACTGAAGATGGAAGAAGAAAAACAACATTTTCAGCATATTGTGCCTTTTTATATCAAGGAAGGTAAAAATGCTACTGAAACACAAAGATTTGTGCAGTGTATGGAGATAGTGCTGTGACTGATTGAACATCTTGCAAGTGGTTTGCAAAGTTTCATACTGGAAATTTCTCACTGGATGATGCTCCCACTTAAACCAGCGAAAACTTGATGAAAAGTGTCTGTAATTAATCAATAGAAAACGCAGTCTTCCATCAGGATAACACAAGACTGAATGTTTGATGACCAGGCAAAAACTGTCTCAGCTTGGCTGGTTAAGTTGATTCATCTTCTGTATTCTCCAGACAGTAAGCCTTCAGATTTACATTTAGTTTGATCTTTAAAAAATTATCTTAATGGAAAAAAATTGAAATTTCCTGGAAGACTGTAAAAGGCACCTGAACAGTTCTTTGCTCAAAAAGATAAAAAGTTTTGGTAAGTTGGAATTAAAAAGTTGCCTAAAAAATGTCAGAAGGTAGTGGAATAAAACAGTGACTACATTCTTCAATAAAGTTATTGGTGAAAATGAAAAATGTGTCTTTTTTTAATTAAAAAATTGAAGGACCTTTCTGGCCAATCCAGTATTTGTAATCTGTAAATCAAAACGGTATTCTTTAAAACATATATTTTTTTTAATAGAAGTATCGAGATTCCTGAAAATAAATTCGTAATCTTGTCAAAGCAAAATGTACCTGCCATTTTTTTTTCTCCCCAAGACTGGTCATACCTCAGTTAGAAAGTGCCCATGCAGTTGTACCTTGATTATTTATTAATCCTCTGTATAGTATATATGAAAATCAATTGCTTTTCTTTGATAATAGCTGAAAAACTAGATATATCTGCTTGGTTTTAGATTTATCTGATGTTTTGAGGTGGCTTAACTGCTCAAATTTAAATTTCATTAGAAGCACTGTTATTTTAAAGAGGATTATTGGCTATTCCAGTGTGAATTTAAGAACAGATGTTCTCACAGTATAATGAAAATAGAAGATTCATGTGCCATTCATACTTGGAAGTAGGAAGTATCAGACACTGGCTTAGGGTATTAAGCTTATTATTCCAATTTAATGTTCTTTAGGTGTTTCTCCAAGGTCACTGGGGTCATTCTCAGTTAAATACACGAGTAGTAAAATGTAGCAGATAATTTTACATAAAAGCAGCCATGATAATGAGAACTGGTTTTGAGTTGTTTGTATAGTAGTTAACTATTCTCGCATGATTTACTGTTTGAACTATGCAAATGCTCAAAGTCCAGCAACACCCTACTGCCAAACTCTGACCTCAGAAAAGTATGACAGTTGAATGAAGTGATACTGGCATGAGGCCAGTATAGGGTGTGTGTATACCTAGCATACTTGGCCTGAGTTCAGATTGTTCCTCCTGTGAGTGCTACTGTTCCTTGAAGGCCACAAAACTGATTATTAAACTCAATAACAGTTTTTTGTTTACAGAGCACTTACACATGCATTCTAATATATTCTTAAGTGTAAAATATGGCTTTTTTAATTTGAACTTACAGATCAAGAAATTTAAGTGACACAATAGAGACTTCGTGAATCCTTAAATCCACTCCTCAAAATAAAGTTCTAAAGGTTAACAAAGGTTAACAGTGGCTGTTAACCAACAATTACTTCACTAAACACAAAACTGAGCAGTGGTATCAATTACCTATGAAGCTGGTAGATGCAAAACAGACAGTCCAGCAGGATATGATACAGATGAGTGATGGGGTTTTAAATTAATCTGATTCCAGAGCCTCCATCTACAGTATTTTTAACTAAGAAATTTTACAGCAGGCATAAAGCTGCATCTTAATGCTGAATAAACAGGTGCTCAATTACCCCCACCAGTTCTGTCAGGCAAATATTAACCAAACTTGAATCATTATAAGACAAAAATTTAATGAAAATTGGTATGTAATAATCCAAAGGGCTAAATAGTTACATGGGACTGTATTAGAAATTTAATATACAAGTAAATGTTACATGTTATCATCATCTGATTCATCTTCTTCCTTCAAAGATTCCTGGTAAGAGAAAAAGTGTTTAAAGTCAATTTTTAGCACTGCTATAACAACCTGAATCTAAGTGTTTGTCATTCAAAATTCTTTATAAGTAAAATGGAACACTGGTTTAGAATGTTAAACTTTACTTGAATGTCTTAAGTACATCCTGCTCTATCAATGACTATATTCTTGATAGGATACACACAGTATGAAAGCATTAAATGTTCTCAAAAAACCTTGCCATTTTCACATGCACAAAAAAAATTTTTTGGAACCAGGGCAACTTTATCCCCATTGAGGATAACCTAGAAAGTTTCGTTTAGTTCACCTCAACTCTTAAAGTGTTACTTAATAGAATTCAACATATTTCCATGATGCTTTTACCTTGAGCTGTTTTCATGCTATGGCTTACCTTGGCATATTTCTCTGCCTCTTCCCTTATATCTTTAGGAACTATTTCATGTCTTCCATTAGTTACTGTAAATTAAGCCATATATTTAAATGAATTAAAAACGAGAACTGTCACTGTGATTTGAAAAGACTAAACAATCTAGCCAATCCATAGGTAATACCAGGTTCTTTGACCTCATCTTTGTGCTTCATAAGCTCTTACAATACAGAAATTATGCTATGATTTATCCTGGTGCTATAAATCCTGAGCATTCATTCACATATATATATTCACAAACACAGTCAAAGGTATGGTTTTTCCAGTAGTCATGGTGATGTGACAGGTGGACCATAAAGAAGGCTGAGTGCCAAAGAACTGATGATGCTTTTGAATTGTGCTAGAGAAGACTCTTGAGAGTCCTTTGGACTGCAAGGAAATCAAACCATTCAATCCTAAAGGAAATCAACCCTGAATATTCATCGAAAGGACTGATGCTAAAGCCAAAGCTCCAATATTCTGGCCACCTGATGTGAAGAGCCAACAATATGGAAAAGACAATGCTAGGAAAGGTTGAAGGCAAAAGGAAAAGGGGACAGAAGAGGATGAAATGGTTAGACAGCATCACTAACTCAACATGAATTTGAGCAAATTCCAGGAGATAGTGGAGAACAGAGGAGCCTAGTATACTGTAGTCCATGGGGTTGCAAAGATTCATGAGTTAGTGACTGAACAATTTATTCACAGCATGATTAGATTTTAAAATCTGTCCCTGAAGCCCTATGGTTGCCTTCCTAGAAAGAAAAAAGGTTACTTCCCAATAATACTGTATGCAATGGATATTTCAAAGTAAATAAACTGCTCACAACTATATATAGTCTCTTATTAGGCAGAACTTTTCCATTAGTATCTCCTAAATTTATTCTAGCTTTGTTTGTATTAGAAAGGCACCCAGCAGTCAGAACACACTGTGGCCAGTACTGCAATTGAATGAATGCTTATTTCATGATCCAGCAGTTCCACTCTTAACATATTTCTAAAATGCTACTATATATGCATGCCACAGTAGATGTAAAGGACATGCACAACTGCATTATTCATTTCAGTAAACACTGGAAAGAGCCCAGTTGTCTACTGGAATTCAAGACAGTGGTTACCTTTGTGGACAAGGTAAGGGTTGTTGACTTAATGGAGGCTTAAGGGTTGAGCTATTTCAAATCCTAAAATATGATGCTGTGAAAGTGCTGCACTCAATATGTCAGCAAATTTGGAAAACAGCAGTGGCCACAGGACTGGAAAAAGTCAGTTTTCATTCCAATTCCAAAGAAAGGCGATGCCAAAAAATGCTCAAACTACTGCACAACTGCACTCATCTCACATGCTAGCAAAGTAATGCTCAAAATTCTCCAAGCCAGGCTTCAGCAATATGTGAACCGTGAACTTCCAGATATTCAAGCTGGTTTTAGAAAAGGCAGAGGAAGCAGAGATCAAATGGCCAGCATCTGCTGGATCATTGAAAAAGCAAGAGTTGCAGAAAAACATCTATTTCTGCTTTATTGACTTTGCCAAAGTCTTTGACTGTATGGCTCACAATAAACTGTGGAAAATTTTGAAAGAGATGGGAATACCAGTCCACATGTCCCGCCTCTTGAGAAACCTGTATGCAGGTCAGGAAGCAACAGTTAGAACTGGACATGGAACAATAGACTACCAAATCAGGAAAAGAGTACATCAAGGCTGTATATTGTCACCCTACTTATTTAACTTATATGCAGACTCCATCTAATGTTGAGGCTGAAACGCCAATAATTTTTGGCCACCTGATGCAAAGAGCTGACTCATTTGAAAGGACCATGATGTTGGGAAAGATTGAGGGCAGGAGAAGGGGACAACAGAGGATGAGATGGTTGGATGGCATCACCGACACAACGGACATGGGTTTGGGTGGACTCCGGGAGTTCATGATGGGCAGGGAGGCCTGGCGTGCTGCGGTTCACGGGGTCGCAAAGAGTCGGACACAACTGAGTGACTGAACTGAAGTGAAGGGTAATTTGGCAGGCTGGTCTACTTGTTCACCAAATTAGTTTACACTAATATATTCATGCTGTTTGTTATTTGTGTACTTTTCTGTGTGTACAGGCCATTACTAACTTTTTTTAAGGTTGGAAAAAAAAAAGGCACCTATAGTAAATTAGGCTTGGTAGTGATGACTCTGAGAGCAAATAAGTATGGAGTAATCACTTACTTTCACCAACCCAGCTGAGCTCTAGTTCAAAAGCTTTATCCTTAACTTCATCGTGGACTATATAAATTCTAGAACAGAAAGAGGAAATTAACATTTGGCCATCTACAAACATAGTTCATCCGTTCCTAATATAAGTATGTATAAAATTATACACACAGCATACATAGTCTGTAATATGAAAATTAATTAGGACTGATAAAAAACACTACAAAGGATTCACTATACCATATACCTTTATACAACCCAAGCTGTTTATTTTGATACATTCTTTCAGAGACAGAACTAAAAGATGTCTCATAAGGAACATTCAAATGGGAGAAAGCTATTACCTGTGCCTTTCCAGGATATTTGGTATTTTCCATTCATTAACTGATTTTTAAACAAAAACTAATTTATTAGTTTACAATTAGTTTTCATTCTGCACTTTCTTGGCAGGAATATTTTTAAACCCCTTTACTATTCTGGATGTCCCTAAACCTGGCCTTTAAACATACAAGACAAACTGCAGCAAACAAGGAAGCAGCATCAAACAATATATTAAAAGTAGAAGTAAAAACAAAGCTTCCCTCGTGACTCAGTGGTGAAGAATCTGCCTGCCAATGCAGCGGATGGGTTTGATCCCTGATCCCGGAAGGGCCCACATGCTGCAGAGCAACTATACTATGGGCCCCAACTACTGAACCTGTGCGCTTAGGAGCCTGGGAGTTGGAACTACTGAAGCTACCAGGCCACAGTGAGAGAAAAGCCTGGGCAGCAATGAAGACCCAGCACAGCCAAAAATAAAATTACTTTTATAAAATAGAAGTAAAAAGTTACCAGCAAAGCTTTTTTTCTATTTTATACCTTACCATCTTTCACAACAAGGTAGCAAAAGTAATTTGGAGAGTAATTCCTAAAGCCTTGCTATAACAGCTGTAACATAAGAAAGCATCTTAAACTTTCTAGAACTAAAAGATGCATAGTGCTCCATTTTATTAAATGATGAAAGAATGGCTTTCCTACACAGAATATAAACATAAAAGCTGTGGTAAGAACTGATATCCAGAAGAGTTCCTGAAGGAAAAAAACTGCTGCACAATTCAATGAGGATTATTTACTTTTTATTAGTTCTATCATGTTAGTTGCCAGTGTCCTCTAGGTTGTCGTTATTAATAAATGACAATCACAGAATGGAATGCATTCCCCTTCACAAGAAAGGGCAAGGGTCTCATGGTAATAAGACAGTAGGGGAAGGAGGGTGTCAGTAGCAGGAGTGGTAGATTAGTATAAAATTATAAAACACTTGTGGTTTTAGTATTTTGTTACAACTGTCAGTATAGAGATTAAGTATCATTCAAATAATAGGTTTATCATCATATGATAGACCCTCCTGGACTTTTTTTCCCCCTTGCATGTATTATTAGATGTAAAACCTGCTGACTAGACAATGATGACGTAGTTCTAATGTGGAACAGAGGGGTTATGAATTCTCTGGAATATTACGTTTATTACTCTTTAACTCTGAAAAGCTGACTAAAAAACCAGCATTTTATCAGATTTTTTGAAATACTAAATGCCTGCATTCTTTGATCTAAAAAAAATATATTTTGAAGCATGGTCACTGAGATTTTACTGGCATTATTGTTGCTTACTACTACTGTTACACAGCTTTCTACCCTAGGTATCTGTAACATAAACTACTTCAGGTTTTCTTTAGCTATTTCTAGATGTTCTGAAATACTGCTCTATTCATCTTGTTACAAGAACTTCAGCTGTAGACCTTAAAGTTGTAAGCTAAGATTAATATTATTGGGACTTCTGAGATTTAAGAAGTTGAGAGCTAGCAAATGAAGTCTCAAGACGTTCAGTTATATCCTCCAAATCTTGAATTCTGTCAACTGAACAGGAGTATATTTTAATCAAAAGCTGTTTTTTCCCATCCTGTTCACTGTCACTTAAAAGGAAGTCTCTCAGAATGTTTGTTGGATTCACCTTCTAAAGTTAATGCAATAACTAATTTCCAAACAAAACAGCCTCTTAGGATTAATGTATAAGGTAAGGTCAAGTGAAATATTTGTCAATACTAAGGAAAATTTCAACTTACATTTTTGCAACTTCTTTAACAACATCACGGCATGTCATTTCTTTCATCTACAGAAAATAAAATATATATCCATTATGTTATGACTCAAAGGAAGAACACTTTCCACTTGTGTAACTTTTCAGATTCTTTTTGCAACTTTTTTTTTTTTTGCAACTTTTATCAGTAACCTATGCTCTTAAGATTCTTAAATATAAAACCAAGGAAAATAACCTGAAATTCAAAAAGACCAGAACTTAAAAGGTTTTTATTGTTTAATGTTTTTTTAATGATTATGCAAAAAAAGCCTTGGACACCAATAATTTTGTGAAATATATTAAAGTTTATAAAAATCTAGACTCCTTTATGAATTTATTCACAGGCCAACCCTGACATTTAAAAGATTACCAAGAAATGTTTTTTTTTCTTTATGGTGAATTCAGGATAATAAAATGCAAACAAACCACAAATACTTCTATATGCTAGATAAACAGGGATAAATTATCCTTCATGAAACTGTTCAAGACACAACTGCAAAATGTCAGGGAAAGCTCTGAAGAACCAAGATCTGAGTGGAGTCTTGGAACACAGATTTATCTGATTTGATTATGAGGAAGATAAATGAACTCCAAAAGTGAACATATGGAAATCAAGGCAGAAAAATAGCCTTTAGATGCCTGGCAGAAAAGTCTGTTACACTAAAGGTACAGCAAGTAACCAATGAAGAATTTTTTTTGGTATATGTGTTTCTGAACACATTTGACAAAATTTTTAAAAATGCGCAAACCTGGTGTTCATATTCTGAATATGTGGAGGATGGAAAATAGTGAAAAAATAATGAACAGTCATAAACAGCAATCCAAACTTGAGGCGGTTTAACTACTATATCTCTAAATTAAGCTTATTAATATTTTATTTTTTGTATTTAATATTTACAAATCTTGATGCCCCAGCTCATAGAAATAGGAAAAATATTGGAAAGCAACAACTGTTCAATCTAGACAGAGATGTTTGTTGTATGTTATTTTTTCTGATTGAATTTCTGATTAAATTTTTTCATGGCAAATTGGGGGTGAAAAGGAAAATACCGATATTCATATTTTTGCCCTTATAAGTTTAAGTTCTATATTTAGTAGATTAATTGTAACATACAAAGGCAAACAAACTTGAAGCGATACATCTTAAATATCAAATACATTTTTACATATGTTGGTAAAGTTTATTTTATAAAATTATATTCTTGGTAAACAGAACACAAGTAGAAAAGCAGACCAGAGTAATGACTGAGAGCAGGGGCTGGCAAACTCTGTTAAAGGGCCAAGTAGTAAATATTTTAGACTTTCATCATAGGGATAAGGTTTTTGGTCTCCATTCCAACTATTAAACTCCACTGTTGTACTAGAGCAGAAGCAACCAGCGACTGAATATGGCTATGTTCCAATAAAACTTTAAAAAGCACTGCAGCTAGAGATTATCATACAGAGTAAGGTAAGTCAGAAAGAGAAAAATAAACACCGTATAATATCACTTATATGTGGAATCTAAAATATGACACAAAGGAACTTATCTATGAAACAAAACCAGACTCACAGACATAAACAGAGTTGTAGTTGCAAGGGGGGCGGGGGCTAGTGGAGGGATGGAGCAGGACGTTGGGGTTAGCAGATGTAAGCTATTATATATATAGAATGGGTAAACAGCAAGGTCCTACTGTATAGCACCATGAACTACATTCAATATCCTATAAGCCCTAGTAGAAAAGAATATATGACAGAAAAGACCACTGGTCTAAGAGTTATAAGGTCTTGGATTGTTTGTAAGCAATAGTCTATGACTCTAGCCAGTGTATTTTAACCCAGGCTTGGACTTGGGCTAAGTGATCTCTAAGGTCCTTTTGTCAATTTTATCAATCCTAAAATAATTGATTAGGCTTTTACAGGTCTAGAACTTGGTGTTAAGTTCCAAGCAATAAAGCCTAACATTAAAAAAGCTGAATCAGTGAATTAGTTGAGCAAAGTTCCAGTACAGCATTAACATTAAATGTACAAGAAATTTTTGTCACTGTAATTTACCAAAATACTGCTAAATCATATGCCTGTCTTTTAAGGAAGTTTCTGATAAGCAATGAAGAGCTGGTGGGTACTATTTCAATGTCAAGTTGATCAATTTATGGCTAAAAGCAAAGCCAGGAAATTTTTAAGAAACTTTTTCCACACTAATAGATGTTGGGAACAAAGGAAAGAGAAGCAAAGGAGCGCAGACTTTAATGTGTAAGACTTCAGACAAAAGCTGTTTTCTAGATGAAAGAAGTGATACAGTAAAAGACCAAAGTTCTGAACCTAAGGGGCACAGGGTTTGGTGAATGGGTCTCAAGGATTTTGTGAAATTATATGAAAAAAAAATTTTTTTTAAGATTAGACAGCCATCAGAATCATAAAAGGACCCATGATACAACTCTAAAGATAATATGCTGCCAGCTTTCCTGCTCAACCAATCTAGCAGCTTCAGAAAGCTTGACTCAAAATGGCAAACCACACTTGGACTAAAAGCTTTACTCTGTGGTGATGAAACTTAACCACATGAGAATAATGGTATACCAGAATTTTAAACAATAAAAAGGTATTACCTGAAGTTTTTCAATTTCTGTCTTTGCAGCCTGCCTGGCTTTGCCAATGGCACAGCCCCAATAACCCTATATAAAAAGAACGTACACCAAAAGAAAAAAAAAGTATTATTAAATTAATATACTATCATAAGTCATTAATGACTACTGTTTCTATTTAAAGGTTAATAAAAGGATGCTAAATGACATTCAAAAGCACATATGGAGAAATACAGTAAAAAGACATTTACTAAAATGAATAACAAGGGACTCAAAAAGTTTAAAATATCAAACTTAAGTATAGAATAACCTGGATTATTTTCAAGAAATATCCAAAGGAAAACAAATTATATCATTTTATACACACACACATACACAGAGACCATGAGCTAGAGGTGTATTTGAGGCTAGAAATAGAAAAAAAAATTAGCTTTATGAATTGAAATGATTTTTGAAAGAAAGAATTCCTAAGTTAAAGTAGCCTTCTTAATGTATATATACACATTTTTTGGCAGCATCAGTGCGGCTTGTGGAATTTTCAGTTTCCCAACCAGCAGGCAGTGAGAGCATGGAGTCCTAACCCATGGACCACCAGCGAATTCCCTAATTTATATTGTAATGGTTTTTTTTTTTTTAATTAAGTATGCCCATTCATACTTGTATAACTATACTTGTATGTAATGACAAAACCTAAAGAGCCTTAATTTTGTTAATGAGTATAAAAACCATTAAAATCTCAGAAGACACTTTAAGAAAAGATTATTAGAGAAAGATCCAAGAAATCCCACTTAAGATCCTTTATACTGGGGAATTCCCTGGCAGTTCAACAGGACACCAGCTTTCACTGTCATGGACCTGGGTTAGATCCTTGATTGAACTCTGTTCGGGAAACTTAAGATCCCACAAGCCATGTGGTGCAGCCAAAAAAAAAACAACCCAAAACAATATCAAAAAACCTAAAAAACTTCAAAAGGGAGGGCATTATATTCATTTTATAGACTCTGCTAATATTTATGGTAATAAAATAGCACATATTCAAAATTTTATGTTGACTATGCAGTTTCTACATGGCAACCCACTCCAGTATTCTTGCCTGGAGAATCCCAGAGACAGAGGAGCCTGGCAGGCTACCAGTCCTTGGAGTCACAAGAGTTGGACATGACTCAGCAACTAAGCCATGTAGTTTCTACAGTAGCATATTAAAAGTCACAAATCTGGGACTTCTCTGGTACTCCAGTGGTTAAGAATGCACGCTCCCAACACACAGGGCACAAGTTCAATCCCTAGTCAGTTCACTAAGATCCCTCATGCCATGCGGCACAGTCCAAAAAAAAAGTCACAAATCTTTGCTGTCTCATACCCATAGGTTCTTGTTATTAATGTTAAATAAGAAAATGTTAAATGAGTATTAAAGAAACATATAATCTGAATATATGACTTAAGTGCTAATGAGAGACCATTAAACTGGAAATAGAATCTCAGATGATTCAAAATTAACTCACATATGAAACACCCGATGGGTCAATCATGTAGAGTTGTGCACCGTCATTCACACTGTAAGACCCTAACATGAAACTGCACAAAAGTAAATTAATAATTTTAAACCATGGTTCTTAATACCAGAAAAGTATTAAAAAGTACAGTGATAAAAATGCAATTTACTTTCTAAGATAAACATTGACTAATACCCATATAACTGACAGTAAGCACTTTGATAATATAGTTTGGATAAAAACTAGTATATGCTTGAAAATGTTCAAAACTCATGTACCTTGGTTTAGTATTAAACTTTCTAATCAACCTTCCCTGCAAGGATAGCACTGCAGGGAAAGGAGTACTGACAGACAGACAAGTAACATGAGGGTCCAAGAGCTAAAGGCATAAACGTGAAAAAGCCAAGGGAACAAAATTCTTGCTATGAACACACTGAATCTACCTCAAACTCTTGTTCCACCCTACATTCTTTCTTTCTTGGCTAATCCCCAATATTCCTCCAGTTATTTTTCTGCAGTAATCCAAATTGATTCAATGTATTTTTTATCTGCAACAAAATTAGGGTATTGAACAATCATATGAATTACTGATTTCTTTGAAATTATAAACAGAAAGCAGCTTCATATTACTACTTCATGTGCAGAATACCATACAACCAATTCCCATTTAAGTGCATTTTACCTGTTGCTTACAGAAGATAAGACAGAAACTAATGAGAAAACTGAGATGTCAGTACAGTTGGCTACTTAATAACAACAAATGGACTCTATTTAAAATCAGTTTGCAGGGCTTCCCTGGTGGCTCAGTGATGAAGAGCCTGCCTACCAGTGCAGGAGATACAAGTTTGATCCCTTATCTGGGAAGATCTCACATACTGCGGAGTAACTGAGCCCATGCACCACAACTATGGAACCTGTACTCTAGAGCCCAGGAGCCACAAGTATTGAAGGCTGTGCGCCCTATAGCCTGTGCTCAGCAACAAGAGAAGTCACCTCAATGAGAAGCCCACACACCACAACTAGAGAGTAGCCCCTGCTCTCCGCAACTAGAGAAAAGCCTGCACAACAACGAAGACCCCAAAATAAATTTTTTTAAAAAATTTTAATAAAATCAGTTTGCAACTTCCTGAAAATGCCTGGATCTAATACCAGAGAATTCCACCCCCCCAGTTTTACTAATAAATAATTGACATGCATCACTACATTAAATTTAAGGTGCACAGCATAAAGGTTTGATTTATATACACTGTGAAATGCAATGATTACCACAGGTTTAGATAATATCCATCATCTCACATAGATACAATAAAAAAAAAGTTCAAGGACTTCTTGATGAAAGTTCATTTCTTAAGGGTATAAAAGGCTAATAAGATGCTGGGAAAACAGATAACTGGAGTACAGATATCAATGAATATCTCACTAAATTTCATACCTGCAGCCAAAAGGTCTAACAGCACTGTAGAGTGTATACGCGTGTACATACATGGCCACTCTGTCTGCAAGATGCTGAGGGGGGAAAAAACAGAAGAGTTTATTAAGATTTTTCTCTTGCTGTTCCAGAGGCTCCTCAACTGTTACCAACTTACTTTTAGTGGAATGTTATATCCAAAGTTAGATCTAAAGTTGGAAGCCTCTTCTCTTGCAATGTCTGCTAAAGAACGAGCATCTGCCAACAAACCTGCTACTGCCTGAAAAAAAAAAAAAGCACCAGTTAACATTCCTATCACAAATGAGGCAAAAGTATGTGATTGTGATAGACTTACTTGATATTTTTAACAAGCATCATCATTAGGATAAATTAGTTTGGCTTAAAGGTCTTTCAAGAATCCGACACAACTTAGTGACTAAACCACCATCTTTGCAAGGCATTCTGGAATTTCGATGGAGTATGGGATAACAATTTGGAAATTTCCCAAAACTTACTTCATTCTTTTGTCAAATGAATTAAAAAAAAACATTAAAAAAAACCCCATGTCTCCCTATTTCCAACTTCATTATAAAGACTAAAACCACCACAAAGAAGAATAAAACCATGAGTTTTGGTTAGAACTGGTTTTTAATTTAAAGCCATTCTATGTTTAAAAAGTTATTAAAAGTTTTGATTTAAAAGGCGTAGCCTCAAACCTCCTTTCTTTTTCAGCATACTAATAAATTGTAATGCCAAACCAAAACATGACAAACCACAAATCTAGTGGCTTAGAACTGCAATTACCAAACCACATGCTGAGATATCCCAGGGAACTACAGTAAACTCAAAGTTGTGGGGTATTTTAAGTTTTGGGGGAAACACATATTGAAGTAGTTCAGTTTCAACATGAGACCATTCCACATTCCTTTCAATGCCATCGGATCACTGAGAAGCTGGGGCTGCCATGATAGAAAATAAGCACTGTGCAAAAATCAATGTGAAACAGGAAGCAGGGTGGGGTGAGGCACAGCATCTAATCCAATTCCAAACTTTAAGAAACTGAAGAGTACAGATTAGCAGTTGTGGTTGTTTGAAAATAAAAACATTTTTATTTTACTGTCATATGGTGAGGTTTTGTTTTTATAGCTACTAAGTTTTAAGAACATAAATCATTATTTAGGCCTACATATATAATACACAGAACCACTGGGTATTTCTTTTGCGCTAGGGAAGCCATGAAAACAGACATGTTGAAACAGTTACAGGAAACCACTGACATAAGAAGATTTGCAGAATAAATTCTATCAAAAATTTTAATAGCCTCTTCTTCTACTGCTACCTAGTAATAGTAATGATTATGAAAATCAATCCTTAATCCGTTATTGATCACTCATAACATGCTAAGCAGGTGAGGACACTGGAGTTTAGAGTAACCCATGTAGTAATTTTCTTGATTTAAATAATCTTCCATTGCATAAAACTCACTGTGAAGTCTAATAATTTGTCAAATCACTTGAAGATGACAATTGTGGAGACAGACTATCAATCCTTCTTTTCTCCAACCTTCTTCAATGTCTAATATTTTACCAATTTCCAGTTGCAAGGAATGTCATCAGTTTTTTAATAACAAATGGGAAAATCTGAAAATTCTAGGAAAATCTTTCCACCACTAAACTACCTATAAGCATATATGATTTTTTTCAAAATACATCTACCGAAAGATATCTTTTTTACTAAGTAAAAGAAAGCAAAATTCAGTAATTCCCTTCTACCAGTTAGGTTACAATCTGGCCAAGTTTCAGGAAAACACCAGTTTCACTGGCAGTAATAAATTTGTTCAGGAGAGAAAACAGATTCAGAAAAACTAATAATTGAAGGAAAAAAAATGTATCTGTAGCTTTATAGTTTACTTCTTATATTTTGCTAGTCCTTTCTGTGTTGTGTGTAACACATCTTATTTAGAAATACCAATAACAAAGCTACCAATACTTTAGCAGAATGAGTGGACCCTACAGAATCTCACCCTGAAGAATGGGCTCCAGAGTAACACACAGACCATGAAGACCCAAGTACAAATCCCAGCATATTTCATTACCAGCTGAGTCTGTTTCCTCATCTGTAAAAATGGGATTAATATTACTTTCACTGGTTTGTCAAGATTACATGAGATAATTTATGTAAAGAACTTCTGGCATATTACCTAGCACACAGAATACGTATTCTCTTTTCTTCCTTGACTTTTCAGAAAGCAGGGTTAAAAATCACTTTTCTCTTTTTTCTGGACTGTTATACTTACTGAAGAAAGTCTGGTATTTATATAGGATGACTTCAGTATACCCCAGTAATTATTTATGTCATACCAGCTGCATGAAATAAATAAATAATAGTGACGCTTATGAAGCTACTAAAAAGGATGTGCTCACTTTTCCTTTCATCAGACATCCTTTCCTGATACTCCACCTTACTATAAAGGTATTCTCTTTCTGATAAAACCTTCAGCGTGACAGTTATCCCCAGAAAGGATACAAAAAACTAAAAGACTTACTGCCTCTCAAGCATATGCCTTGATTGGCCATCTATGGTGCCAAGATTTTTTACCCAATCTTCTCACACCTTTCCCCTCCTCATTTTCTTCAACTTGGTTTTTCGTATGTATCTCCAATTGGGTTATAAGAATTCTACCAGTATTCTTCCTGGAAAATTCCATGGGCAGAGGAGCTTGGTGGGCTACAGTCCATGAAGTCACAAAGAGTTGGACATGACTGAGCAACTGAGCATGCACGCAGGCACCTTTCTTTTAGACAGTGAACTGTTCACAAACCAGTAACTTTCTGATTATTTCTATGGCTGCTCTCTGACCTGTTTTTGCCTCAATGCTAAAGTAATAAACAGGTTCTTATAATTACATTTTGATATATTCCAATTAATTACATCACAAGAAACTGGACAAGGCAAAAAGGAACACTTTTAAATGTGACCTTACCATTCCAACATGTCGATCAACATTAAAAAGTCGTTTGTTGGAACCTTCTTCATAAAGTTTAGACAGGACTAATTTTTCTACCCCAAAGACAACGCCGTCTTTACATCTGATTCCAATAGCTGTACTGAAACAAGTAGAAAAAAAATCAGTTTATTTAACTGAAAATAAAAGAAACTTTGTAAACTCAAGTTAAAAAAAGAAACAAAAAAACAGGCAAATTTCTTAGAACATACCAAGTTTTTAAAGCAAATACATTTGAAAACTAGAAAGGGCAAACATCCTAAAGTGTGATGAATTAGATCCATATAAATAATCATGTGACCAAAAGAAAAACAATTCCGTATCATGACATGGAAAGATAATAATACACAAATGAAAAAAGATGCTAACAAAATGTGTAACAAGTGGCACAGTATCTAGCATATGCTGGCCATCGACAAATGCTGACTAGTCATGTCCATTAAAAATGGTACATAACATGCATATAAATGATAGGCTACATACAAAATAAAAAGTTAACAGTTTCTAATCTGGGTGGAAAGATTATAATTCTTTTCCTTTCTTTTGCTTTTTCTGCATTAACAATGTGTTGCTTACAGTAAGTGTAAAAGAATAAACATTCTGTTCAACTGTTTAAAACAAAATTGATCAAAAAAACAAGTAAAATATGGAGAAATTAATACACCACCATTTCAAGAAAAAATAATTACTTTAAATCTTCTAATTCTTTTAACGAAGAGAATTCTATCAGAAACAACCAGAAAAATGAACTGAGTCACATACACAAATTTTGTGAAGAATTTCAGACACTCCTTCCCCCACACTTCAGGTACCTTTTCAAGTTTAAATTCCTTGGTCCAAATTTCCTAACTCCCACGAATCTGCAAAGCCCATCTAGCTAATTCAATTTCATATTATAAATCCTGTGCTCTGCTGAATTCAACCTCATTGTCGTCCCTCAAACACCATTTTTGCTTTCAAGTCTTTATTGAAGTTATCCTGGGTACTAGAATACAATTCCTCCTCACCACAGCACATTTAAATAAATTTCCACAAACTTTTGCAAGTTTACTTGAATAGTCTCAGACAGCCTTTCCCAATTATTACAATTTCTCATCTTCCTCATTTTTCAGAATCGAAAATGTCCTTTTCCCTAAACCAAAAGTTCTCAAAGTGTGGTTTGTCAGGTCAAAAATACTTTTATAAAAATACAGAAACATTATTTGACTTTCTCCATTGTGTGGATGTTTGCACCAATGGTACTGGCTGACAATAAACTGTAGCAGTAAATACCACTCATTGTATTCTTTATTGCTATGCTGTTTTTTTTTTAAACCATTTTTAGTTAAGAATGTCCCTGATAAAGTTGTAATTAATTATATTAGACATTAATCCTTAAGTATGTCTTTTTATTATTATAACAAAAATCAAGTTAGCCAAACTTCTTCTGCTGCACATCAAAATATGATGGTTGCCTGCGGGAAAAAGCACTGATAAACTGCTTTCAGGTGTAAATTTTTTCAAGGAACATCTGTTATTACCATCAAAGAATAATAACTACGGTTATTTTCACTTAGGTATGTGGCAGACTTTTTTCTAAAATGAACAAAATGAGCCTGTCACTTCAAGGAAAACAAATGAGTGTATTTTCTTGCCAGTGATAAAATCTGAGTTTTCAAATACAAACTGGAGTTTTGGAAAACATATTGGTGGTGATATTAAAAAATGTGATGTTTCTAACAGTTAATAATGAAATATGTCTACTTTGGAAGGTCTAACTCAGTGAACCAACATTTTCCAAATGGCCAACACACAATGTTACAAATCATGCATGGATAAAACATGCAAAGTACAAGACAGTGCAATAGATTTTAATAATAGTACAAAAAGTTCATTATTATGTTTTCAGATTCCACACTGCAACTAACCTTTACAAAACTAAAATTTGTCCAGCATGGTACAGTATAAATAAACAACATGCATAAGACTATTAAATGACTCCTCTCTTTTCCAACTATGTATGTATATGAAGCCTGATTTGTTGCACAAACTTCAACAAAAGTTACAACATACTAAAGCAGTAGCAACTATGAGACTCTGCCTTATATTAAGATTCAATTCATCACTGAGATTTTCAAGAATGTAAAACAACACAACTCTTCTCACCACACTTTTTTTGCATGTTTTGGAAAAGTAATTTTCATTCAAAATGTTATTGTTACTTAAGTATTTTAATAAATGTTAATGTAATTATTTGTTAACATGTACTTTTATCACTGTTATTTAAATAAATTAAGAAATATTTTTTATTTTTTGGTTTTAATTTCTAACACTGATGAACCAATAACCTGCATAAATAAATGCTCTTTGGGGTGAGCATTATGGTAAATACTTATAGAACCTAAGAGCCTACTTAATTAAATACTCATCAAGGTTTTATGATTTTTTTTCAAGTATAAGGATGTCCTAAGACCACAATTTTGTGTACATTTTTGTTCTAAACAATCTAGCCTCACAATTACGTTGCACAATCTTCCTTTCATATCTTGTCCCCTCAATGAGGATAAACTGAAAAATTATAATTCAACTCCTTTTTTTCTTTTGCATATTACCTTCTAGGGGCATACTTTTATAAAATAGTTATGAGCATCATATATAGGTTTTTTTCAATAGTGTTTTAAGTATCTTCTTATATGTTCTTATTTGTTTGGGTAGTTCCTGTCCCTAACATAACAGCTACTCAAAAATATTTGACTTTTAAATCCCCAAGATCGAATTTCTTTCTTTGAAAGAATTTATCTCTAGGACTTCGGGGTGGTCAAGTGGTTAAGACTTCACACTTACACTGTAGGGCACACAGGTTTGATTCCTGGTTGGGGAACTAAGATCTGGCATGCTGTACAGACGTGGCCAATAAATAATAATAAATAATGAAAATAAAAACAAAAATAAACAAATGGATCCTAATGAAGCTTAAAAGCTTTTACACAGCAAAGGAAACCATAAAGAAGATGAAAAGACAATCTCAGGATGGTAGAAAATCATCTGCACAGGAAGCAGTGACAACGGGTTAATCTTGAAAATACACAAACAGCTCATGCAGCTCAGTATCAACAAACCACCCAATCGAAAATGGGCAGAAGGCCTAAATAAAAATTTCTCCAAAGGAGACATAAAGATGGCCAACAAACACATGAAAAATGCTCATCATCATTAGTTATTAAAGAAATGCAAATCAAAACTACAATGACATATCACCTCACACCAGTCAGAATGACCATCAACAAAAATTCCACAGACAGTAAATGCTGGAGAAGGAGTGGAGAAAAGGGAACCCTCCTACACTGTTGATGGGAATGCAAACTGGTATAGCCACTAAGAATAGTACAGAGGTGCCTTAAAAAACTAAAAATGTAACTACCATGTGACTAAGCAATCCCACTCCTGGGCATATACCTAAAGAAAAGCGTAATTCAAAAAGATACATGCACTCCAATGTTCACGGCAGCACTATTTACAATAGAAAGGACATGGAAAGTAACCTAAATGTCCCATCAACAGAGGAATGGAAAAAGAAAATGTGGTATATACATACATACAATGGAATATCACTCAGCCATAAACAGGAGTGAAATTGTGCCATTCGCAGACACGTGGATGGATCCAGAGACTGTCATACTGAGTGAAGTAAGTCAGAAAGAGAAAAACAAGTTATCATATATTAATGCATACATATAACACTTTCTAGTGAAAGCTAGGGACAGGGGAACCTGGTGGGCTGCCATCTATGGGGTCGCACAGAGTCAGACATGACTGAAGCGACTTAGCAGCAGCAGCAGTAAAAGCTAGAAAAATGCTATAGATGAATTTACTTGCAAAGCAATAATAGGGACACAAACAGAGAACAAACATACGGATATCAAGGGGGGAAAGGGGGAAATGTGGTGGATTAGGACTGACAATATGTACACTACCAAGAAGCAAGAGAATTTCAGAAAAACATCTATTTCTGCTTTACTGACTATGCCAAAGCCTTTGACTGTGTGGATCACAATAACCTGTGGAAAATTCTGCAAGAGATGGAATACCAGACCACCTAACCTGCCTCTTGAGAAATCTGTATGCAGGTCAGGAAGCACAGTTAGAACTGGACATGGAACAACAGACTGGTTCCACATAGGAAAAGGAGTACATCAAGGCTGTATATTGGTCACCCTGCTTATTTAACTTATATGCAGAGTACATCATGAGAAACGCCGGGCTGAAGGAAGCACAAGCTGGAATCAAGATTCCCGGGAGAAATATCAATAACCTCAGATATACAGATGATACCACCCTTATGGCAGAAAGGGAAGAAGAACTAAAGAGCCTCTTGATGAAAGTGAAAGAGGAGAGTGAAAAAGTTGGCTTAAAGCTCAACATTCAGAAAACTAATATCATGGCATCCGGTCCCATCACTCCATGGCAAATAGATGGAGAAACAGTGGAAACAATGGCTGAATTCTTTCTGGGCTCCAAAATCACTGCAGATGGTGATTGCAGCCATGAAATTAAAAGACGCTTACTCCTTGGAAGGAAAGTTATGACCAACCTAGATAGCATATTAAAAAGCAGACACATTACTTTGTCAACAAAGGTCCGTCTAGTCAAGGCTATGATTTTTCCAGTAGTCATGTATGGATATGAGAGTTGGACTATAAAGAAAGCTGACTGCCGAAGAATTGATGCTTTTGAACGGTGGTGTTGGATAAGACTCTTGAGAGTCCCTTGGACTGCAAGGAGATCCAACCAGTCCATTCTAAAGGAAATCAGTCCTGGGTGTTCATTGGAAGGACTGATGCTGAAGCTGAAACTCCAATACTTTGGCCACCTGATGCGAAGAGCTGACTCATATGAAAAGATCCTGATGTTGGAAAAGATTGAAGGCAGGAGGAGAAGGGGACTTCAGTGAATGAGATGGCTGGAAGGCATTATCGACTCAATGGACATGAGTCTGGGTAAACTTTGAGAGTTGGTGATGGACAGGGAGGCCTGGTGTGCTGTGGTTCATGGGGTCGCAAAGAGTCGGACATGACTGAGTGACTAAACTGAACTGAAGAATAAAATAGATAACTAATGAGAACAAATTGTACAGCCCAAGAAACTCTACTCAGGGCTCTGTGATGACTTAAATAGGAAGGAAATCCAAAGAAGAGGGAATATATGTATACATGTATTTCCACTGTATAGCAGAAACTAACACAACACTGTAAAGCCACTATACTCCAATTAAATAGCAAAAATAATGATAAACTAAAAAATAATTTATCTCCTTTCAATGCAGGCATATAATCTTATTTAAAATTATTTGGTTAAATGTTTTCTAAGATTCAGTCTATATGTCTCACTTTTAAGAAGATTCACATCTAATTTTTCTATTTTCCACTTAGGGAACGGCTTACCCACTCTAGCATTCTGGCCTGGAGAATTCCATGGACAGTATAGTCCACAGGGACGCAAAGAGTCGGACACAACTGAGCAACTTTCACATTCACTTTTTCAAGCTCACAAAACACTTTAAAAATTTCCAATTTCATTTTTCTGGTACGGTATGGGAAGTTAGATTAGATGTCCGTATCCCAGTTTTACAGACAAAAAAATGACATTCAGGGGACTGAATACTGGAGCCTTATATATTATTACCATTTGGCAGCAGCTAGCAGGAAAATTCACATCTTCTGATCCTCATCCAATATTCTATCATACCAGGTGACATAGGTCCCTTTAAAAAAGGAACTTTCCAAGTAACTTTTCTTTATGTAAAAAAATACTCATTTTTAATGTTTCCAGTTTTTAAAATTATATTTAAGCTTGCTTAAATGTAACTGTTCACATGACCTTCCCAAAATTAAATGTAACTGTTTAAGGTCATATTTAGAAATAATTTATAGAAAACAAATTGCTAAAATACACAGACCTCACAGTCCAATCTCAATTTTCTCAGTTACAGATAGTTTCAAAATGTATCTTCAGTTCTTCTTAGTCAAGACATCTCCTACCAGTTTTTAACACCAATGAAAATGCAAGGACGCAAAGGAGGAAAAGAAACGCAATAAACTTCCTCAAATCTTTCTCCAACTCATTGGCCAAAGAGCCTATCTTCTTTTACCAACAAAGGAAAAATGTCAGCTTTTCTTGAATTTGACTCTCTTCTGAACTCTTTCAGGCCTCGTACACAATGACAAATACAGTTCAACCTAAAATTCTTAACAGCCTCACTTCTACTGTATTATCAGATACTGACAGTTTGTAAGTACTGATATCTATAAAAATACAACATTTAAACACAAAATCAACTAGCTTCACTAACAAATCCCATAAGACTCAAAATGTATTTTTGTTCAAAAATTTTAAAATACTATTTCATAAACAATTAGAAATCTATACATCTTGCTTCTATCACCAAGAAAATGGCACACAAAAAATAAACATCTATTTATTCAGTATCTACTGAGGGCTATGGGGTTTCCCAGGTGGTACTAGTGGTAAAGAACCCACCTGCCAATGCAGGAGATCTAAGAGACGCAGGTTCAATCCCTGGGTCAGGAAGATCCCCCTGGAGAACGGCATAGCCACCCACTCCAGTATTCTTGCCTGGAGAATCCCATGGACAGAGGAGCCTGGTGGGCTACAGTCCATAGGGTCACAAAGAATCAGACACGACTGAAGCAACTTAGTATGTACACACTGAGGGCTATGTGCCAGCACATGCAAAGACCAGTTACTATCTATAACCTTATGAAAATTCCATGACTGAATATTGAAGGTATTAGTAGAAAGTGAGAAAACCACATCTACACATGGGCTTTTCTAATATTCTCAAAACATTTTCCTACCACACAACTTTTCATTACATTCAAAACATTGAGCTCAAACATCAACACAGCTTATTTAGTAGCAATAAAAAAAGAATTTTTTAAGAGATCTGAATGACATGAAAGAAAAATTTTTAAATCTTTTATCTCATCCCAAAGCTGCTTTATATTAAAAAATACAATGATTACTTATATATATATTATATAGATATATGTGTAACTGAATCGCTGTGCTATACACTTGAAACTATGTTACAAATCAACTATACTTCAATAAAAAAATTAAGAATGAAACCTGCCTTGGCAGACTTTATTCAATTAGAAGTGATTTTTTTAAATGATCATATAATTGATTATAAAAATTCTTCAATATAAGACTCAGAATTTGTCAACAAGCCGGTAATTCAACTAAGATGTTATAGTGGTCATTTTAATGAATTACTCTAAACAAAAAAGACAGAGTGTGGAGAAGGAAATGGTAACACACTGTGGTATTCTTGTCTGGGAAACCCCATGGACAGAGAAGCCTGGTGGGTTACAGTCCATGGGGTCGCAAAGAGTGGGACACAACTGAGTGACTGACACGAACACTTTCACGCTCAGGGTGAGTTTTCTAGCTCCAAGTCACCCTTTAAGGAACTGCCTCGTTTTGTACTGCTTTGTTTAAAAACAAAGATCATTGTTTAAGACAAAAAAAAAAAAAGAGTGAAGGAAGTAATCCAAAAGGAAAATATCTTGGTGGTCCTACACCTTTTGGAGTATAGCAACAGAAGAGAAAAATAAAAAATATCCCTCCTGAGATGATCATGTGACCAACTACACAGGGCACTGAAAACACAAGGAAATAAAAGATTAGACAATAAAGTCACAAACCTATTGGCCAAGGAAACCAATGATGTAAGTCAAGAATCTGAAAAAGGGCTAGCAAAGATGTTGATGAATTTGGCTTTATACACTTGAGACATGGTAGAATGTGTAAGTGTGTAATTCTGGAGTCTGCTGGAAATATAGTCATATGGAGAGAGCTAGCATAAAGAGAAATCTGGAAATGACTAATAAATTGAGATTATTTTAGGGCATGTATTATTTGTGCCAAAGTAACATAACAAAGCCTAATTACCAAAAACAAAGAGGAGACATTTAATACCTGGCTAAAACACACTGATTTCAAGTAAAACATTGTTTCTTACCTACTATTTTCCACAGCCTTCATAGCATATTCAACTTGAAAAACTCTTCCATCCGGAGAGAATGTAGAAGCTGATAGATCATACTAAAAGGAAAAGGCAATAACAAGCTTAGAAGGATGCACCTTTGGCAGTAATAACAATTTTTTCCTAAATGGCTTACACATCAGAAATGTGTGTTCAATCTCAGTGAAGATTTTGCTTTGAAGAGAAAGGGAAAGCATGTCAGGGCAGGAACAGCAGCTAAAAGAAAAGTTATACACTTTAGATTTCTGCTATTGACAAGCAATGAATACCAGTCCTGGGTAAAGTAAGAACTTCTCCCACACAGAACATGGCTCATTTCTGAAAAAATTACCATGGTAGAAACAACACTGGCTTCTCGTTAGCACTGAAGTATTTTAATTCATAGCTGTGGCAGTAATGAACTAAAGGAGCTTGGACACAGCATTTAGCATTCAGATATTTAATAAGCATCTATTATATGTCAGTCACTGAGGAAATAAAAAGACTACTCATTCTTAAAGTCCTTCATTTTCAAATCAGACCTCAAACAGATCCAGGTGCTGGAGATAAAAGGTTCTATGATGAAAAATAAGACAAAGTGAACTTACAGTCTCAGGGAATACCACAGACTACCTGATCAAGGAAGGCATTGCTACAGCAATTATATGTATGTTATTTAAGCTGAGCCAGACCTAAAAGACAAGTAACTACTCATTTAGAATACAGAGAAAGAGTGTCCTGGCATCTGGCATAAAAAACCTCAGGGTAGAAATAAGAGGAGCAAAATTAAGAAAAGGAAATAATGCCACTGAATCTTGAGCACCATAAACGGTAAACAGAAGAGTAAACTATATTAGAGGCAAATAAGGGCCAAGTTATGCTAAGTCTTTTGTTTTAGGCTGGAGCAAGTTTACATTTTATTCTAAATGCAACAAAGTCACTGGAGTTTAGGTGGGGTGAGGGGAAGAGGTTCTAATTTTTTTTTAAATGCTGTTCATCTGGTAAATGAATTACACAGAAAACAAGAGTGGAAGCAGAGATAGAGTATTCCAAAGGGAGTGTCTTAGACAAGAGAGAAAGACATGGAAGGTGTTATCTTTTGAGGGTGCAGTCAAAAAAACCGTGCTTAATGGATTGGCTTTAGGAATACAGTAAAAAAGAAATCAGAAGTGCATCATAGATTTTTTTTTTTTCATTTAAGCGACTAAAATTGAACCATTCACTGAAATGTCAATTGTAGGAGATGCAAAATGGCAACGGAAGAAGAAAACGCAGAGATCTACTCTGAACGTGTCATTTGAAATGCCTATTAAACAATCAAGTGGAGAGAAATATCAAGACAGGTCTTTGCATCCGGAGTTCTTGGGACAAGACAGGTGTTAAGTCTTAAACAGTGGTGCTTCCTGCCTCTCAGCTTGTTGGTCTGTTAAAGGAAGATCTTTAACTCTACCACCGTAATACCCAAATATCTTACCTTATTTATATTATTAAACATTTTTAAAGGGTTTGTAGAACCTTTCAGAACACTATTCATCTAGGGTAATTGGTCTGCTAAACGAAGAACTTTACCACCGTAATACTCAAAATTTCTCACCTAGTTATATTATCAAATAGTTTTAAAAGATTTGTAGAACCCCTCAGAACACTATTAATCTAGGGTAACATTAATGTACTTGCAAAGTCAATTTGCTACAACATGCATTACTGAGCATCAACTAATCCAAAAACGGTATGAAAACCTTAGTATAAACTGCCTATTATCCAACTCGGAAAACCAGTATTTGGGCCTAATGGTGAGAATCAAAATCTTATGCACAATGGGAGTAAATGAACTGAGAAACCCATTATCCAATGCCTCTAGTGGAACCAACCAATAAATATTTCTAAACATGTTTTCTATATGGGGAAATACATAAAAGGAGCAAGCCAAAGACTGTATATATGCAGTACGTTTAACAAAGAAAAGTTAGTAGGCCGAACAAGTTAACAAATCTAACTCCAAAATCCTGGAGAGTCTGTCTGTTCAAAGAAGCGGTTAATTCATTTAAACGTTAATCATTTAAACGCTTACGGTACTGAGGCCTCACAGTGCTTTTATTTCTCTACGAGAAAAGCTGGGACAACGGAAAAATGGAAAAGATTCTTCAGATTCCGCTTTTTACATAAGATTTCCTTTTCAGTTCTGAGAAAGTTCCAGGGACTCTACAGAGAGGTCCATAGGTACCCTCGAAGCTAAGGCAGAGAATCCGTGAGTCAGCAGCACCCCAGGAACTGCAAGGGTGGGGAAGCGGGGAGAGGTTCTTGGAAAGCGGCGTCACAAACTTCGGACTCTGAAGCCGCCTTGCCTCAGTGGTGCTCAAGAGCTTAACTGCTGTCCAAGTCCTTCACAGCGTGCGCGCACAAACCATTTCAGGCCTCAAGAGTTTCCACTTTCGGTTTCCCTAAGTGGCTAAAGAAAGTGACTCAGCAACCTAAAGCGGCTCCAAATCTCACTGCTGCGCGGGTAAGCCCGCTACACCTGAGCTAAGAAGCGTCAAGTCACGGTCACCGCAGGCGCGGGCCTACACCGCCGGGCACCGCACAACTAGAAGCGGCCCACCTGCCCCAGGCAGTCCCAGAGGACCCCCGAGTCCGCGCACCCACTGCGTTCCCTTCCACGCTAATCCTTACACTAGACTATCACACAGAGAAACAAAGAACTCACCCCAGTGCCGATTGAGCTCATCCTGCTAAAATCACTGGGACGCTTACGGCTTCAGGCCTAAAGCGATCCCCCCAAACACCACAGCAAGAGACTAGTAACAACCTTTCTCATTGGCTATTCTTTCAACCAATAGCCTTTTCTGTAACTCGTTCCTGGAGCGTTGGCCCACGGAACAGAGGATTGTGGGAAAAGGGAGGGGGCGGGGGCGGGAAATGCACCTGGCGAGTAAAGCGCTTGTATAAAAGCAATCTCACCGGGGTTAGGTAGGCTCCTGGTTGTTTCATCTCCGATTTAGGTTCGTAGATGTCGTTCTGTCTTCTGGTTGCTTGAGAAACTGCGCCAGTCCTTTTCCTGGGAATTATTATTTATCTTTTATCCTTCTCTTTCGCTTCCTTATTTTTTTAAAAAGCAAAACAGAGATGTTCTTATGCTCTTACAAAGGCCAGAGAAAACGGTAGGGGAGAGGTCCCTCTCCACCATTGGCGGCCTGGTTCTAATCCAATATATTGAGGCAACCCCATCATCCACCTATTCTAACAAGAAGGAAGAAAGTTGCATTCTTTCATTTTAAGGGTATCACCTCTAGGCTTAGGTCGGAATTTTACAGGATTAGTACTCTTTGTATAACTCTAGTAGAATTAAGGATAAGATTGATTAAATATTATTTGTTGAGCTTTGTACGTCCCAAGTACTCAAGTTACACCCTGCTGATGAAACGATGAAAGCGACAGGACCTCATCCTTTACACTCAATGAGAAGAAACAGGCAACGGAGAGTAAATAGGCAAATAGTTGCACCTTTTGTTTAAAAAAGAGAGACAATGGAAGTTTGAACTTTAAACCTATTACTTAAGGAATGACTTTCCGAATGGGTGATACTTAAATTGAAATTTGGGGTTGTTATTTCAGTATAAGCTTATCTTATTATAGGAACTGTCAAGTCCGTATGGCCTTAGAGGGGGAGAGTGACAGGAGATGAAATCAGAGAGGTGGATATGGAATCAGACTTCATAATGGTTCGAATTTTAATCTGATTTTAAATGGAAAGCCGTCAGCATTTTTTAAACTGCTAAATACTTCCGTGTGTATTTCCCCAAAAAGAACATCATTTTACATATCCAAACTATAACTGAAAATCAGAAAATTACCATTCCTTTTTTTTTTTTAATCTACAGACTTTGTTTACAGATTTTGGCAAATCCCTCAATAATGACCTTCACAGCAAAAGAAAATCCAAGATCACGTTTTGTATTCAGTTGTCATGTCTCTAGTCTCCTTTAATCTGGAAAATACTTTGTTAATATTTCTTTAGATTTCATGGCATTAACACTTTTGACAAAAAACATTTACTTTATAAGATATTCCCCAGTATAGGTTTGTATGCTGTTTTTTCATGATTCAATTTGGATAAATGCATTTTTGTCAGGAATGCCACAAAGTAACATTCTATTCACATTAGAATCTTATGTTAAGAGGCACATTGTGTCAATTTGTTCCACTAGTGATGATGTTAACCTTGATCACTTGCTTTAGATTTCTTCACTCTAGTTTCACTTTTACCCTTTGTAATTTATAAATATCTTATGCAGAAATACCTGGAGACTATGTAAATATCCTGCTATCCCGCCACCTTTTACCCACTAATTATAGTATCCAATGATTCTTACTATGATGATGGTTTCCAAATGATGATTTTCTAATTTTCCTCTTTTCTTTTGGCTTTATACTATGAGATCATCACAGCTCTGTAAGTAGAATGATATGATTATTAAATGAAGTCTCTTGCTTCTGTGGAGAAAGATAAATACAGGGAAGAATAGAAATACAGAGACTAGTTGGAAATCTTGCAATCCAGTGTGCAAGCCGTAATGGAAAGTGAGTAGTCGTCGGAGTGGAGGTGGAAATATGTGGATGGATTTTAGATGTGCAGGCTTGCTGAAAAATTAAACGTAGAAAGTAAAGGGAAAAGGAAATTCAATTGCTTCTTCCTGTTAATGAAGCATTATAATTAAAAGTTTTTATTCATGAATAAATGGATAAAAAGGATATGGATATACTCGGAAGACTAGCAGTTTAATTTGTCTAACCCTCACTGAAATATCCTAGTTGCAAATTTTTCATGAAGGGTCCTGAGTTAGACCACTGTAGGCCAAGAAACGGAGAAGGCAATGGCACCCCACTCCAGTACTCTTGCCTGGAAAATCCCATGGGCAGAGGAGCCTGGTGGGCTGCCGTCTAAGGGGTCGCACAGAGTCGGACACGACTAACGCAACTTAGCAGCAGCAACAGCAGGCCAAGAAAAGACTTCTTCCCGGGTGTTACTAGTAAAGAACTCGCCTCCCAATGCAGAAGACAGATGCGGGGTTGAGGCCAAGAAAATGCTGAAGAAAGCTAGAGTATAGTCCTAAGAGGGTTCACCTTGAAGGTAAACTACAAGTACTCCAAACTTGTTTAAAGATCCAGTGAAACCCTTAATTAACTTTCCTGTTTGTATGTGATAAACACAATTTGAGTGCCTAGGGCCTACTGTGTATTCATTAACAATTGTGAATTTGGAGCTCTTTCTGAACCCATTATCAGATGAACTGTTTATGTGGGGACTGGATTGTTGATTTATCTCGTACCTTGGAAAAATGCATTGAGTTATGGTCTAAGGTTCGTTATTGTTTGCCTGATTGATTAGAAAACTTAAAAGGTGTGAGTATGGATGTGTTTTAATTACTTTAAGTTAGTTTTGGAAATAGTGCATATAAAATCAGTATGTAATCTACGCATATGTCTTTCTTATAGGGTGATAAGGCTTTTGAGGTTATCAGAGTCTGTTTATACTTCCGTCTATTGGAATAGTGCTTTGCACATGGTAGGTACTTAATAATTGTGTTGAGAATGCAAATAAATACAAATTCACTTCCCAGGACATTCTGCCAAGTTATAAAATTGTTACAATACACCAGAATTTGCAACTGCAAGAAAAAAAATTGTTGGTGAATAATTGCATTAATATTTCAAGCTTGAAAATTTTAAATATTCCGCTTAAATCCTAGGGGCACTTTGAGGAATCTAAACATAGTTTATGCCATACTGTATTACTCAGTTTTAATTAAAATAGCCCTGGAAACATGATGCCCAATGTGTTTAACTTGTAAATTCTGTGTTTTAGGGTTTCAGAAATTACTATCCCTAAGAATTCTTTCTGACTCTCGGGTTTACAATTAGGTTTTATCTTGCTGTTCTGAGCAGTAGAATAGACACCACTCCCATCACAGAAATATGCAGATTTCCTTATCTAGAGAACTGCACTAGTATCTCAGAATATATATATTTCTGTAGATTATTCCATTATCTTAGCTTGTCATAATTTGATCAAAATTAGTTCTTTTCTCCTAGATTTAATTCTTTACCATAAGACTCAGCAGACTCTACAATCCTTTCCTCTCGGCCTGTCTTTTGTGAGGGATGTGTAATAACAACTTCTGAAGGTCCTCTCTCTGAAATGTCAGGCAGTTATGGGAAAGGGGGCTAATTTTAACTGAACCGGTTTCCTCTTCCTCAATTTAGCTTTCCTTGACTAGATCATATTAAAGGGAAATAAGTAAGTTCCACTGTTCTTCCGCGTGTGTAACTAACTTCATTAAAAACTTTGTATTCATGCTGCGTCCAAAATGGTAGGAATCCATTATGGCATTCGATAGAAAGTGAACAGTCTTGATACGTGTTTGGGTCCTAAATATTGGGTCGTAAATATTTTTTTTTTTGGGGGTCGTAAATATTTTTAAACACTTCAGAAAAAAGATTCAGTGATTCTGTAATGACAGACACGTAACTCTTCAGTGCTCTTGTGATACACCCACGCTAAAAAATTACTAAATATAAGTACAGTTAAAGAATTGTTTTAAAGAATTTTTAAAACCAGTTTGGAAGTTAACATCTCATAGCATGACATAAATTTTTTTAATATCAAAAAAGAAGTATAAGGAAACATACAAACACACCAAAAAAAAAAAAAATCAAATACAGTTAAACACTTTAAGAGGAGAAAAATCAACCTCCTCGTCCAGGTGCCCGGCTAGCTCAGTCGGTAGAGCATGGGACTCTTAATCCCAGGGTCGTGGGTTCGAGCCCCACGTTGGGCGCAATCAGTATTTTTGGTTTTTCACTTTGCTTTAACTTTCAGAGGTCTCCACAGCATTGTAACACACAAGGGTTTTTTTAAAACCGCTTTTAGATACTGTCAGTATTAGCCAAATCTCTGGAAAAAAGACGAGTTTGCAAATTAAAGAGTTCTCAAATTGCGCTTGCGTACTTAAAGGAACACGTTACTATTCCTTTTTCCCATCACTTCCTTGCTCCTCCTTCACCAAGGAAACCGAAACGGCCAATGTTTACAGTTGAAATTGATTTTCTGTGTTACTGTGCCTTCCAGCATTATTGCTGTGAGAGGGCGGTTTTTTATTTAATCGGAATAAAATCAGGAGCCTCAATACTGGCAACTTTTCTAAAACTTAAGCGATGCCATGGAAATGCAGAGTCGGAGGACTTCGAAGTTCTCTCTTGTTTATTTTACGTTTTTTCTTCTCAATATAGGGCTTTCCTGGGGTAGGGATGGGGAAATGTCTTCTGGAGAAATATACAGTGAGAAATGTTCCATGCTGTTGAGAACCAGGGCACTATCAGGTTTTCTTCCACTGTTCGTGGGACTTATTTGGAATCTCTCCATCCAGTTGGATAGATATTAGCAAGTTAACATTCCGGTAAAGCAGAGGCTCTTTGAAACGAAAGCACAAAAGAACTGAGATGTGAAACTTCGAAAGGGCAATTATTACTAAGTATTATGGAATGTAGGACTTCCGTTTTTTTACCCTCTTCTCTAAGAACTTTGAAATAATCAGGAAGAGAACATGCACACCACAGCCAGTCCCGTTCCGGGATCTCACTCCCCGGCCGCTGTAGGTGAAGGGCGCAGGCTCCAACCCGAATTACTATTTCCCGTACGCCGCGTGTTATCTACTAGCTTTCCTCCTACTAAAGGACCAATTTGTCTCTCTCGGTTTTCCCCCTCAAGATACAAACATGCTGTTAATTCTCTATCTTAAAACAAAACGAAAAACTTTGACCTAGTTTCCCCGCAAGCTACCATTTTACCGTATTTCTCTGTTCCTCTTCGGAGCGAGTTGCCCCACGGAGGCCCAAGCTCACCATTCTCTCCTCCACCTGACAATGCCCTTCAGCCAAAGACCAAAAAACAAACTCCTGTAGTTGACCAAGTTTGACTTATAACCCCTTGCAGCGAGGGAGACCTGTGGGGTGTCTCAGTAAGAGGGTGTTAGAATCTACTACAGGATTTGTGTTTTAGTCAGGGTATTTGGGAGAGGGTCTATGGAAACGAGGGCGCCTTCTGGATTTCTGGTGTTCCCAGGAAGCAGGGGCCATTCTATGATATAAATAAATCTTATCTATAGGGAAAAGCAGACTAAAGGAAGAATAAAGCTGAAACTGATAAAGTCACTCATTTAGGACAAAAAGCTGTTCAGCGTTCTCAGTGGGACTGGGACCAACTTGTCTAAAGTGAATGTTCTATGAAATGCGGATTCCACGTCCAGGCCTCCCCAATTTGTGGCCAACCCACCATAAACCAGGGGTTCCCACGGTCTCTGCTGAGGTTTGTTCATTTCCTAGAAGGGCTCACAGAACTCCAGAAAAGTTTACTTATTCCCGTTGTATTAGATAGGATACAACTCAGGAAGAGCTAAGCGGGAGAGATGCTTAAGGCAAGGTATGGGGAAGGAACATGCCACTCTCCCAGCACCTGAACATTTTCACCGTTCTGGAAGCTCTGTGAACCCTGTATGATAGGGATTTTTATGGAGGCTTCATCACACAGGCATGACCAATTATTGACTCAATGGCAAAACCCTGTCCTCTCCCTAGAGGATGGGGCAGGCAGGGGTGGGGCTGAAAAGTTCTTCAAAACATCACTTAAGACTCTGGTGACCAGCTCTCATCCTAAAGTCATCCAAAAGCCCTCCAAGAGTCACCTTTTGGTGAGAAGTACAAAAGGCACTTCTATTACCCAGGAAATTCTAAGGGATTTAGCAGCTCTGTGTAAGCTGCTCCTAACACAAGGATTTTAGGAGCCCTGTGTCAAAAACTACAGGCAGAGGCCAAATACATTTCTTGTGTCGCACTTGCCTAATTTGTCTGAGTCACTATAAGCCCCTCAATCACCCTATTCTAATTGGCAATTAGCCCCCCCCCCATTCACCTCATCCTACATTTTTTTTTCTATAGAAGATATCTTCTTTTGTTATTTGCTTTACTTTCACCACATCCTTGGAACGTAGGTCCACAAAGGCAGGATTTTTGTCTTTGTTCTCCAATGTATCTCAAGCACCTAAATTAGTTATCTGGAAGATGTCCAATAAATTTGTGTTGAAAATTAGTGAATTAAGAAGGCTGTATTGGTTTCTTAAAGCTGCCATAAACAAAGTGCCCCAAACTGAGTGACTTAAAAGAAATGTACTGTCTCCCAATTCTGAAAGCTTGAAGCTTGAAATCAAGGTGCAAGGAGAGTCTTGATCTTAAAGGCTCTCTTGAAGAGTCTGTTCTTTACCTCCTTCTCTTCGCTTTCTTGTGGCAGCAGCAACCCTTGGTGTTTTTGGTTTGTTGGTGCCTAACTCCAGTCTCGGTCTGTCGCTACATCTTCCCATTTCTCTCTCACATGGCATTTTCCTTTTTGTATAATGACACCAGTCCTAGTGTCTGATTAGAACCCACCCTAATAATCCCATCAATGTGGTTATACCTGCAAGTTAAGGCCACATTCACAGGAGCTAGAACTTACAACATCTCTAATGCACACAATTCAACCCTTAACAGAGGGCTCCATTTCTTAACCTCCATCTCTGGTGTCTGCCACTTTATAGTATCTATAAAGTTGCATTTCATCTAGAGACCTTATGTTTTATATTATTCAGTAATGAAAACCTCTTAATAAATCATCCAAATGCTACAAAAGATAACTTTAGGTTTACTACAAGAGATAATGTTAATACTGAATCCATTCAATTGACTATTAGTAGTACGCCTATTCCTGGCCTAGTACACTTAGAGATTTCAAAGTTAAGAAATGGAGCTTGGTTCTTATGGAGCTTATATTCCAGAGAGAAGATAAAACCTGAATAGAAGCAAATACAAAGTGAAATTTTAAGTGCCTTGTTACAGATAATGTGCTTATGGAAAAGAGCACTACTTTGGGGAAAAGGGTGCTGTGGAAAATAGTAAGTCGAGAAGACAGAGGAGTCTCACTTTAGGAATGAATATATTGGGAAACTGAATTTTCAATTTTATTTACTGGTTTAATATGGCTTTCAAGTTCTTTGTGGTCTAATTGTAAATTATTTTAGTAATGCCTCATCTTACTGCCAAATGCTTTAAGATTTTGTGCAGAGAGATCAGTTCACTTAGGCTGGAGTAATCCCCAATTATGGATATTCTCCTCATTCTTTAGGAACAAGGGCAGAAGCCTCCTCTATGAAGGTTCCTTGGCACACTGGTCAGAACAAAATACATCGGCAACAAGTAATGGATCCCTTGATGGCACATACCACATTCTGTTTTGTATCATCATTTGTGTACACATCCACTTCTGCTAACCTGTAACCCTTCCAAGGGCAGAGGTCCATGTCTTACTGTTGTAGCATTTACAGGATCTAAAACTATGCAACGTACACAGCAGAGAGTCAATAAATACTGAATGAATCATAGTTTGGGGCTACTAAAATAGTAGTATATGGTGACAAAGTAAACCTAGATGTATTTTAAAAAGTAACACACACACAAAGATAAAAAGGAATCCTTTCCTATTCTTAATGCCAGGAACCAACTCTTTCAAGTGTTTCTTGGTGTTAGTATCTTCATATACAGAGCACATACCAAAACTAGGAAGGCTATAGAAAAATGATCAAACTATGAGTAAAAACAGACTTGGGACATATAGTCTAAAAAATGTATACATTCTTACTCAGTCTTCAGGACTACGAGAATACATATATATTTCCCATCTTCACAGGTACTTAGAAAGAATGAAACCAGCAAAATTCTAGTAAGAGGTAGTTCATTAAAAACAAAGGAAGAAAAACAAAAATAAAAAATTAAACAATGACTGAGTACATATTACAAAGAACCCTGCTTTTAGAAAATAAAAAGCACAAAAGATTAAAGACATTATGAATACATGTTTAAACAGCAGTTGCATAAAAATGCATGAGCATCTTTGCACTAAAATAAAATATTTTTCCTTAGAAATTCATAAACTATAAAGTTAAGAAAGTGAGCATTTCCACATTTTGCTTACCAAATGCTTAACTATGCTACCCAAAATTATCAGTCCAAAAATAGCATTATTATAACCTGGACACAAACATCAAAACAAAGGATCTTAAGACACAAACCCATGTAAATATTTGAAATAACTAGAAATGGTAACATTATTCTTTAGATGAAGTAATTGATGAAAATAATGACATTAATGAAGTCTCTGATGCCCAGGAAGATTATGTGAATTATGGAGAGATGCCTTTCCTCTTTTTAAAAAATGAACTTGTAACAAATCTCCAAAATGAAACCACTTTAGTATATTTTATTGATATAAATACAACTAATTTCATATGCATCAGCTACCATTCTACCATTACACAAGAGAAACCAGTCAAAATGATTAAATATTAATGTGCCAAATAATTACAGAAATGCTTTCACTTCTACTAAAGTGGTCTCTAACAGCATTCTATATACTTTGTACAATTTGCTTCTAATTGATGAGATACTTGAAAAGAAGCAAAGTTGAATTTTAATCAAACTTTCACTTCTCAGTGGAAAATGCTCTCTTCATCAGAGGTGGCTGACTCTTCCCAACATCGAACATCATTTCTAAAGGTGGATTATTAAGAGAACACCAATCAGGTATACGGCCTGTCTGGTTATAATAATCCTTTGAGACTGAACGGCTCCCAAGTATGTCTTGCAGTGCTCCAAAAATAGCTCCTGTGTGGTTAAAAAAAAAAAAAAATTTATAGCTGATATGAAAACTTTTACTAGGAAATTTTATGTACATACATATCTACTTCATTATATGACAAGAGAGAATGGGTAAAATTCAGTAAAGCATATTCACAGTCTTCAGATAAATTCCAGTTAAGCTGTTCTATATCCTATATTTTGAAAAACAGGGTAAGCCAAAACTCTTGTGTTGAAAATAACTTAAATGGCCTAAACTAGATTATAGTGAAAATGATTAAGTGTTACTATGTTTAAATGCAGGTAGAGGGAACTCCCTGGTGGTCCAGTGGCTAAGACTCTGCACTTCTGATACAGGTGGACTGGGTTCGATCCCTGGTCAGGGAACTAGATCCCACATGCCACAACTAAGAGTCTATGCAGCCAAATAAATAAAAATAAATGTTTTTTTAAAAAATAAATAAATACATAAATGCAGGTAGAGTAAGGTGGAAATATTTTCAACTCTGTACACAAAATAAATAATAATCTTAGTTTTCTTAGCCAAAACTCTATACATGGGATGACTTTAATTGGAGAGAAGTTAATTTTAAAAAAAATCAAAGTGCAAATGCCAAGAGAAAATAGATACATAATTCTTAAAATTAATAATTTAAGGAAAAGTAAATGGTCAAAGAAAATTGATTAATTAGTTGTTCTATTAGTTAACTAAGTAGGCAATTTCTAATAACGAATCATCTATAATCATTAGTAATGTCATTCAGGAACCAATTACTATATAATCATTATTTTAAAAAATGAAATTCCTGGGAATTCCCTGGTGGTCTAGTGGTGAGGACTCTTCACTTACACTTTTGGGGGTCTGGGTTCAATTCCCGGTCAGGCAAGTAAGATTCTGCAAGCTGCAAGGTAAGGCCAGAACAAACAAACAAACAAACAAAAAAATTCTTACCTCCCAGCCATGCTACACAATTAGCCTTTGCAGGTGGAGTATGAATCCGGAATGTCTTGGTGGCAAGAGTTTTTTTATATTTTGGTTTTTCTACCAAATACCTTATTTCTGCAAGTAGTCTGTGAAGGAAACCTGGCAACATAGACGTGCCACCTATGACTACCAAATTCTCTGCTAGCTGCTTCCTGGTGTCTATTGGGCACTATGAGTAAAAAGAAAAAAAAAAAAAGAATTAACTTTAACCGTATAAATAATGCCTGATTGAATTTAAGAAAATATACAGGTTATTAGGTGATCATTTGTATCACAAAAAAGGGTCACAGCAAGGTTTCTTTAACAAGGGATTTTTTCATGTGACAAACATACCAGTATGATAATATCACCATGTACTTAAATAAATCCTTAAAGATTTAAAAAGCTAATAGTGTAGAAATTTAAATTCCAGAGGGCATATAGTAGTAATATGGGAGTATTCTCATTTTCAGGGTAGAATGTCTGAGTCGAGCAAATATCATAATAAGAAATAACTTTTCATGGAAACCTAATTTTTCGAAGGTACTATTTCCATGATATCCAGAGTCAGCGGTCAAGAGGTAAGATAACATTCTTGGAAAACTGTTTCACAACAGTTCTCTCTAAGCATCAGGAATGTTAAAGTCCTTCACTGATATTATGACTTTCAAAAAAGTCCCCAAGTGGAGTAGGAAAAGTAGATAATATCTCCCAAAGTATTTTATAGGAGTTTATGGCTCCACAGTCATTACATAAAAGAGCCATATATACCCTGTGGAATGAAAAACTTAGTACAAACATGCATGTGAAGAAACTACTAAATACAAAATAAAAATCTGGTATTGTCATCATAGAAAAGAATGCATGATACATCTATAGCACAAACTACCCTGCGTGTGAAATGCTGTCGTTACCATATCTCAGTGCTAAAGTAAAACTCAGTAAAATTTCACATAAAAGATAAAAAATGTAACCAATGGCTAAAATTAAAAATACAAATTTTTAAAGATTCTTTATAAAGGACTGTAGTCATAAAAAGAAACCATTTACAAAATAAAAATACCTGCATAAGGGAATCCAATATTAAAGTGGCAACTGATTTCTCTTCATTATCTTGCTCAAAAAGAATTTCCACAACAGAATCTCTAATGAGATTAAGGACAGAGAGTGTTTTGTTGGCATCACATAACACAACAAAGGTCTACAGACATATTTTTAAGTACTATGTGAATGTAGAGTAATGATTAGAACACAAGGTGTCTGCATTTGTAAATGAGAAGAATAACAGTATTAGCCTCACAGGTGTTGCAATAGTCAATGACTTACTAGAACAGTGCCTGGCACATACGAGGTACGCCCTAAGTACTAGCTATAACTATCGCTATGTATAGAGTTTTGGGGCTTCCCAGGGGCCCAAACAGTAGAGTCTGCCTGCAATGCAGGAGCCCCCAGTTCAATCCCTGGGTTCAGAAGAGCCACAGAAGGGAATGGCAACCTACACCAGTACCCTTGCCTGGAGAATTCCATGGACAGAGGAGCCTGGAAGGCTATATAGTCCATGGGGTGGCAGAGTTGAACATGACTGAGCAACTGTCATACACATGTACAGATGTACATATATATTGTCCACCTTAAACCTAATAACAAAAAAGGAGTGCAAGTCTGTAAAAGTTAATGGAATTCAACAAACAGATCAATAGTGATACAACAGATTTAAAAACAAACAAGACCTTACCCCACCCAGCCAAAAGTATTTCTTTGTTGGTAAAAACAATATGTGGCAAAGATGACTAGTTGCCTAATAAAATACTCATTTTCCTGTTCGTTCTCAAATTAAAAGAACTCTATTTTTGGTAGCACAAGGAAAATCTTTGTTGTGATGGAATAGTTCTCTACCTTGATTGTGGTGGTGGCGAATGCAGAAACCTACACGTGATAAAATCACAGAACAATATATACACATTGCACCAATGTTAATTTACTGGTTTTAATATTGTACTATGGTTATATAAGATGTATCCATTGGGAGAAACTTTGAGGAGTTACATGGGACCTATCTATATTACCTCTGCAACTTCCTGTGAATCTATAATTATTTGAAAACTTAAAAAAAGATAAAACTCCATTTTAAGCTGGATACAAAGCCCCTTCCCAGTTGAAATAATTTAACAGCCTCTCTTGCAGCAGACTATAGCTAAGCACCAGACAATGAGATGGAGCCAAAAGTGGTACGTGGGACTGGTAGACAGTCTCCTGTACAAGGAAAGAAAGCACTTTTCTTTCCCTCCCTAGGACTGCATGCTTGGAAAACACATGTAGCAGCAGGTTTAGCAACCACCCTGGAACCCAAGAACAAGGGCTATGCCCCCAAAGATGAGAGGTGGAAGGAAACTCGGGTACCTGCTGGCAATTTTTATACCATCCTTGGAGTATCTACCTGTGAACTTCTTTTAAAGGGAGAGACAAATTCTATCATGTTGAAGCCAGTATTTTCAGGTTTGTGTATCTGGTAACCAAACTGAACCCTCACCAATGCAATACAAAACTACACATATAAATATATTAAAATTTAGACCATACTATGCATACTACTTTAAAGTTTTCTGAATCTTTTTCAAAACATAAAATTCTCTTCCTGATATTCAACATACTTGCTAACTGTCCATTTCACGAGCACAGGATGCTGAGGCCTAAGTATGCTGAATACTCATTCACTCATAGTTAGCCACTTGCCTCTAGGCCTGTACACTTTTGCTTCTACCAGTTGAGCTGAATACTTACAAAGCATCAGTTTTCTTTTTCCAAATCTTTGTCCGTTAATGTGATATTGAAAAGACATAATTTTACAAGTAGCACTTAAGCAATGCGGGCTTCCCAGGTGGCTCAGTGGTAAAGAATTCACATGCCAATGCAGAGACACAAGTTCTCTCCCTGGTCAGGAAGATCCCCTGGAGAAGGAAATGACAACCCACTCCAGTATTCTTGCTGGGAAATTGCACAGACAGAGGAGCCTGGTGGGTCACAGTCCATGGGGCCACAGAGAGTCGGACACAACTGGGTGACTGAGCATGCACAGACTTAGGCAATGAAATGGTAGGGTAGAAAATAAACACTTGTTTTCTTCATTTCTTATTCTGGGCTCCAGTAAACAATCAGGAGAAATTTTATAACAGTAAATAAGTGAATATAATTTAAATAAGAGGTAAAATGATAAAAAGTTACTATCAAATAGTATTACACTGTCACTTTTTTGTTTCCCCAATCTACTATACTTAACATGTGTATGTTTATGTTCATCCTTTTAGTATCTCAAACTCTATGCTAATTATCTCAAAATCTTAACAGGATCTTCCATATTTATGTAATTCTTTTCTGTGCATTTTCTGATCTAATATTTTACAGATGAAACTTTTATAATACAAATTTCATATAGCTTGGGTATAAACAAAAGTTACACTGTTACCAATATAATTATGCAAGTCCTTGGCAACTTACATTGCATCATCAGATTGAAAAATGAATAATAAAAAGGTGAATTACTAACTGGTCCTAAAGATTCAGTATCTTTGGAAGAATGCATTCTAACTAGACAGTATTTTAAAACAGGAATCAGCAAACTATGGCCTGCAAGTCAAATCCAGTCACTGTATGTTTTGCAAATAAAGTTTTATTGGAATGCAAGTCATGCTCACTCATTTATATACTTCCTAGATCTCCTGGAGGAGGAAATGGCAATCCACTCCAGTATTCTTGCCTGGAAAGTCATTAGGAGGAGCCAAGTGGGCTACAGTCCATAGGGTCACACAGAATTGGACGTGACTGAAAACACACACACACACACACACGCACGCACACGCACACGCTGATTTTGCACTCCAACTGTAGAGTGGAGTAGTTGCAACAGAGACTATATGGCCCACAAAGCCTTAGGTATTTAGCATTTGGTCCTTTATAGAAAAAGTCTGAGGGCTCTCCTGCTGGCTCAGTGGTAAAGAACCTGCCTGTCAATGTAGGAGACGCCGGTTTGATCCCTGGTCCAGGAAGGTCCCATATGCTGCAGGGCAACTAAGCCTATGCACCAACTGCTGAGCCTGGGCACTAGAGGTTGGGAGCCACAAATGCCAAGCCTATGTATCACAACTACTGCCATCGATGCACCCTAGAACTTGTGCTCTGCAACAAGAGAAGCTATCGCAATGAGTACACTACACCTAGAGAGTAGCCCTCACGCATTGCAACTAGAGAAAAGCCCGCACAGCAACGAAGACTCAGTCAGAAATAAATGAAATTATCTTTTTTTAAAAGTTTGATGAATCCTGTTTTAAGGTATCATACTTTATCCTCCAACTCAAAGAATGGCTAATTCTGAATTACTCTGAAGAACAGAAAAAAAAATTTTAAGTTTTAAAAAGTTGAATAATAAAAATAATGATAAAGTGTGTTAGTCACTCAGTTGTGTCTGACTCTTTTGCAACCCCACTGACTGTAGCTGGCCAGGCTCCTCTGTCCATGGGATTTTCCAGGCAAGAATAATGGAGTGAGTTGCCATTTCTTTTTCCAGGGGATCTTCCTGATCCAGGAATTGAACCTGGGTCTCCTGCATTGCAGGCAGATGCTTTACCATCTGAGCTACCAGGGAAGCCCCAATGATGAATGATGAAGCTTAATGAAAAACACATAATTAGTAAATTAATAATACTAAAGGCTTAAAAAATATTAAAGCCATACATTTATTTTAGTTCATTATTTTGCTTGTAAAAATTAAGGTCTAACCTGATTGATCCAAGGACATGTAAAATCTTCTCTCCATCTAATGGGTAGTCAACATTTGGGGGTGGTGAGGGACGCTGAAATATAGATATCACAAGCATAAGTATATAAAGTACAAACTGCAAAAAGAATATACATTTCTTTTTCAGCTTACCTCAGTGTTCCCATCAATATTAAATTTTGCTGCCTGGATATTCAGTCCACGCTTCAGATCACTAACAAAGCAAGTGCGCACTTAAAAGAAAAGGAGACATCATTATGGTTTGTGACTGAGTCAATGTCCCAGTTAAAACAATTCTACTCAAGTAAACATGTTAATCATCTGTTCTTTCCAATTTTATAAACTAGCTCTGTCTTTAGTTAGCTTACAATTTATTCACATCTAAAAAGCTTTTCATTCACCACAGAATCATAAGACATGTTCCATGTTCCTGCCACAGAGCCACATTAAAAGAAGTTTTGGTTGGTCAGAACACAAAGCTAAATTTTGGCCTTAGCTGCAGTAACACTCATTAGTTCATGGTTTTTTTCTCCCTCTTTGCACATTACATCACCTTCTTTTTTTCATTTTGAATATTTATTCTTTTAAATATTGTTTCTGTTGCAAAGTACCTTTTACAATTAAGTGGCTTCAAATTATTTTCATAAATAGGTAAAAAATAATTTTTTTCAAGTAGGGACAAAACTGACATTGAGAGGAAGAAATCTAATGATTTGGTTACTTACTTACAAAACATGTTGACATAAACATTATATTGTACAGAATTCTCTACATTTACTAATTCAAAATATACTTGTTAAGAATCTAAACTATGCTAAGGACCTACTGTATAGCACAAGGAACTATATTTAGTATCTTGTAATACCCTATAATGGAAAAGATTCTGAAAAAGAAGATGCACAACTGGGGACTTCCCTGGCAATCCAGTGGTTAAAACTCTGTGCTCCCAATGCATGAGGCACATGTTTGATCCCTGGTCAGGGAACTAAGATCCCACATACATCAGGGTGTGGCAAAAAAAGAAGAAAAGAGAAAGAATATATATAACAGAATCAGTCTGCTGTTCCCTAAGATACTGTAAGTCAACTATACTTTAATTTTTAAAAAAAAGGAATTTACGATATGCTAATGTGTTAGACAGTAAGCTAGGTGCTCAAGTTACAACTTTAAGTCTTCATTAACTATTTAAGAAATGTAAATACTCAGATCCTCAACATCTTACATACTTAGCATATGAAGGTGTTCTTCTTTAAGGAAACTAAATTCACTGAATTAAAAATCTGAGAACAGATAAATTACACTTAAGGATGTTAAAATAATTGAAAAAAACTTAGGTATTATATAGTGACATAGTAAGTACATGAGAGTAAGTGTACATACTGCATATTTGTTTTTAATTTAATGGGTTTCTACTACACATATTTTCCAGCAACATGCTTTTTCCCTTCATATATTATTCATACCCTTCCAAATCAATATATCTATCTCCTCCTTTTTAAAAATTATATGGGTCCCACCTGGGGTACCCAATAAATAAACAAAAAGCCATATGGTAATCCGTATGATGAAGGCATCAAATTTCATTCAACATTCCCTCTTGCATAGGGTGCATATTTTTCAATTTTTATAAATATGCCAGAGTGCCTTCCAAAAAGGTTAGTTTTCAATTCTTATTAATAGCAATATATTAATTTTCCCATAATCTCACAAACACTAAATGTCTGTCTTTCAAATTTTTGCCAATCTGATGTTTGCCTGGCTAATGGAAACTTTTCACAAGTTGGAAGCTATATGGAAAGAAATATTCCAAGAAGTTATCAACTGTTACATTATGGAGAATAGGACTAGAAGAATGGAAGAGAAACTATTCATTTCACTTGAGATATTTCTTCTATTATTTGAGCTTCTGCAAAAAGAATGAATGACTGAAATTTTATAATAACTGAAGAGGTTTTAGATAATTATGCCACGTAAGTAAGCAATATAATGAAGAACAAGATCCATTTTGCAGCCCTAGCTCTCACCTTACCTATGTGACAATGAACAAATCATTTACTATCTCAGGGACCCAGTTGTACCAGAATATCTCCAGGTCCCATTTAATTCTAAAATTCATTATTGTCTAATTCTCTATTAAATATTCTAGAGTATTAATTTTACATGACACTTTTAGTAATGAAGAACATTACAGTTTAACTGATTTCCTGAAATGTATTCATTTCCATTAAATGAAATGTATCAGTGAATCAAGATACCAGAAAACTCAATTTAAACATTATCATAAAAATATACTCTAGCAAAGGAGGAGTATTAATAATGTATCTTATTAAAGTGAATCTAATATACTTTACCAACTGCAGAATTTCTGAAGTCAGTAAAATGACTTTTTTAACATCATAAAAATGCATTTAAAATACTAAAGTATAAAAAAGAAAATGCTAAACAACATAAAATGAGTGGCTTTCATAAGCAGTATAATTGTTAATTCATACTGTGAAAAACAGTAATTCCCTAGTAACTCTGTATACTCTATCACTGAGAAGTTTTTTTAATAGTACACTAAAAGTAATGCCAAAAGGTAATTCTCAGGAAGTCCAGTGGTTAGAATTCGGCATTCTCATGGCCAAGGGCCTGGGTTCAATCCCTCGTCAGGGAACTAGGATCCCACAAGCTGGTGGTGTTGCCAAATTTAAAAAAATAAAAATACCAAAAGCTACCACAAATCTGAAGAAAAACCAAAATTGTATATACATTATTCCACAGCATATATGTTAAGTAGTTTTAGGTTACTGCATTATAAATTTAATACATTTTGTATCTGTATAAATACTTAGAAACATGCCCTCCAAATGAATACTTAATGATGAAAGGGGAAAAAAAGGAACTTAGCTTACCTTTAATGTCCTCCAAGAAACCTTCTGGAATTGAACCTAAAACAAAAATTTTATTGACAACTATAGAACTTTAATAAGCAGAAACAGTCTATTAAATTGCACTCACATTTCCATTTTCCATTTCAGCAAACTATTAAAAAGCACTATAATTTTTTTTTTTTACTATAGTTTTTTTTAAAAGACAAATAGAAAAACCAGGTTTCCTTTTAGGGAAGAAACGTCAGCATTCAAAGTCAAGCCAAAGCACAGAAGTTGAAGCCAGATGTACACAAAGTACTGAAGAATGTGACTAATACTCATAAATTTGACTTAAAAAAAAGACCTTAAAAATATAGCAGAATAAATGGCATTGGCTAGGAACTGACCAAGGAAATCTTTTCTACCACAAAAAGATTTGCTGGTTATCTTGTGTTAAAGTACTTAGAAGAAATAGTAAATAGTAAATAGCTCATTTAAAAATGAGCTACCTACTTTTCTTTTACAAAAAGTGAAGTTTCAAGTTTTCTTATCTTTCCTATGATAATGAATGTCAGTGAGTGACATACTAACTAAATACATATTTGTAAAAAGGATCATGCATAGACAATTTTTTTCTTCAAGGTAAACGTGACATTTTAAAAATGAGTGAGAAAGTACCTATTATATAGATTTCTTTGAAATTTTAGAAAGATTTTAAAAGATAATGTTTGGATATGTTATCATATGTTACATTGTTATGTAATTTTGTTGCCAATAAATTGAGTTTTCCAAGTCAGATTCAAAAATTTAGAATCTTTGAAACTCAGAATTTTTAACCCATTATTAAATATGTAAAAAGTCTCATTAATTTTTAAGAACAAATTATTTATGTCAAGGAAGACAGAAATTTATAGCTATAAAAGGAATCATGATTTAGTAAGGGTAATCATGTACGTCTTCCATCTGGAGCTACATATCTTGTCAGTTACTGAAACTGAAAGAATTAAAATTAAAAACCACATCTTTAAGATGTTAAGCCATAATCTTAAAAAATTAATAAATTATTTAATCACACTTTTTTTGAGAGGTAGCAAAAAAATTTACCATTAGTAAATATGACCTTGGAATTATTATTTTACCTTTATTATATGGTCCTTTCCAAATTCTTTTGTGTTTCATAATATAGTAAACTTTATATATTAGTATAAACATAAGTATGTATTGCAGGTACATATACAAAATTTTTTTACTGGTGTGGCCAGTGTGTGATCAAAAAGTTTGAAGACTCCTAATAAATGTTAAAATTTATCCCATGAAGAATATAAAGATTTCCAAATCAATTTAAACCTGGCTATATACAGATGAGAAAAATATAACCGGATTATAAAGAAAGTACAAATTTAAGAATAAGTGCTAAAAACTAACATTTCACATGTGCTAAACTCTCTCTAGGAATATTCAAATGAATTCCAACATGTGCCAAAGACATTTGGTAATGTGAAAAAGTTTTCTCTAGGCAACATGGAAGGCAAGCTTGAAAATAAAAGGCTTATTTTAGTTAGGAGTAGATGCTGGCTTTGAGAAAGAGCTTCTCAAGCTTAGCGGTTTAATCACAGCCATTTAAACGCTGCAAATGAAGCATTCACTGGCTCTGGCTTTGAAAAGTCATTATTTAAATTTCAGCTAATTTAGAAAAATAAGTATAATATTTTACATATAATTTACTTTCAACTACACTTTTCAAATCAATGTATTTAGTCTTTGTAAGTTTTAAGTTAATATATTCATTCTTTTTTGAGCAAGGTTCTAAATACTAAATAAAGAAGTCACTTAAGGATATCCAAGTATATGTAGGACTTAGATCTAATATTTGCCAAAACCATGACAAGAGATATTTAAAATATATTTGCATTTCTGAGCCTAAGTGGAAAGTAAAAGTGTTAGTCACACGGTTTTGTCTAACTCTCTGCAATCCCATGGACCATAGCCCGCCAGTCTCCTGTGTCCATGATTCTCCAGGTGGAGTGATTCTCCATACTGGCGTGGACAGCCACGGCCTTCTCCAGGGGAGCTTCCTGACCCAGAAGAAACCCGAGTCTTCTACATTGCAGGCAGACTCTTCACTGTGTAAGCCATCAGAGGAGCCTCCCTTCTAAGTGAACCCTTCAGCAAACAGCGATATGATTTAACTCCTCAACTACTGGGAATATATGGCTAACTATGACAGGCAAGATTTTGGGGCATATGAGAAGGAAAGATTAGAATCAGACTTCAAAACAGCTGGTTAAGAAAAGGGTGTCTAATCTAGATGTCCATCAACAGATGAATGGATAAAGCAGCTGTGGTACATATATACAATGGAATGTTGCTCAGTCATAAAAAAGAACGAATTTGAGTCAGTTCTAGAGAGCTAGATGAACCTAGAGCCTATGATACAGAATGAAGGGAGTCAAAAAGAGAGAAATACCACATATTAATGTGTATATACATGGAATCTAGAAAAATGGTACTGATGAACTTATTTGCATAGCAGCAACGGAGATGCAGACATAGAGAAGAGACTTGTAGATACAGCAGTGGAAGGAGAGGGTGGGACAAGCTGAGAAGTAGCATTGATACAGATACATCACTGAATGTAAAACAGACAGCCAGTGGGAATTTGCTGGATGACACAGGGAGTTCAAATCCGGTGCTCTGTGACAACCTAGAGGGGTGGGATGGGGTGTGGGCAGGAGAAAGTTTCCAGAGAGAAGGAAAATATGTATATCTATGGCTGATTCCTGTTGATGTATGGCAGAAACCAACACAGCACTGTAAAGCAATTATCCTCCAATTAAAGATTTTAAAAAAAGAAAAAGAAAGTGTCTAAGAACACACAGTTCAGAATTTTCAGGAAATGTTAAAGTCAATCTTAATGAAGACTTTTATTAAAAATATCTTGGGGGATATCTTCCCTCAAGTATCTTCCCTGGTATCCAGTGGTTAAGACTCTGTGCTTTCACTGCAGGGGGACGGGTTCATGGACTTGGTTGGGGAACTAAGATCCCACATGCCGTGAACCAAAAAGAAAAAAATCCTGGGATGCTACACTAAACTACACTAAAACGGTAACAAAGTTTATCTGAAATGGATAAATAATAACCTGATCTACAGAATAAAGAATGCTATTATCTTAACTATCTAAAGAACAACAGGAAGCAATTTATGGAAGGATAAAAGTCTTAACAACCTGCCCTTCTCTTTCCAACATTTATTCAATGTCCAGGCACTTGAAAAATAAATAGACGGGGATTCTCAAAGTCTATTGACAGAAAAAGTTAAAATGTACTATAATTAATACTGCGACGGTGTAACAGAGAGGGGAGAGATCAAAAGCTCAAATAAGTAAAGAAAAACATTCCAGGTAAAGAAACAGTATAAATGAAGGCACAGGGTTATGGAAGAACAATGATGTCAGGATTATAGCCTGGAAGAGGTATGAAATTCACTGCAGCTGAAATAAGGTGCAGAGGGTTGAGTTTAGTAGTTAAAGCTAAAGCTAAGTTTAAGTTAAAAGGTAGAATAAAGTTGGATTGTGAAGAAACATGTGCATCAAACCGATAATTTGAATTTTAACCTGTGGGGATCAGCAAAAATTCTCAAGCAAAGGAACAATGTAATCAAATTAATTCTGTGAAAGTTATCCCTGGCAAGAGTATGAAGCGCAAGAGTATGAAGCAGACTAAATGGGGACAATGAGTAGGCTCCAAGAAAGAAGCAATGAGAACCTAGTTTACAATGTCTTTGTTTCAAATGTTCTGTGCTATGGAGGACAGAAAAAAAAAAAGAGAGACAAAAACCAGATTTCTGAGGGAGAACTGAAAGGATACACTAGTTTCCTAAAATGTGAGCTCAGGAAGAAATTATCTAACAATGATTTGTTAGAATGAATTTAGGGGAAGAGATAATGTGTTTACTTTTAGAAGCCTTAAGTTTGAGATGCCTAGAGGCATGTATAGTTTCTATCTAAAATGAGCTGAAAATATGAAGTTTAGAAGAAGGGTCAGGCTCAGTGATACAGTTAAGAATCAACAGCATACAGATGTAGCTAAAGTTATGGAAATGATTAAATTTTAACTACTAGATCTGGTGATTAACAACAGCTCAATAATGACCTTATAATTGGAGCCAGGACATCAGAGTGATGTGAGAAAATAAGAATAAGTATGCAATGTGGGGGGAAAAAAATTGAGTTGAATGAAAACCACTCTTAAATAGATTAAAATGATTTTACCCATCACAGAGGGAAGGCTCTGTTCTTTAGCAGCACCTGTGTCAACAGTACATTGTTCCAACAGTTGAGTTTCCAACTCCCTGAAGATGAAAAAAAAAGTTACTGTAATTAAAATACTACAATTGATATCTTTTTCCTATTTAATACTTTTACCTCATAACAGAACATGATGCTTTAAATAAAAGTGGTTTTACCCTTAAAAGATGAATATACTCACTGTCAAAAAATTAGCATCTTTTTGTTGTTGTTGTTATTTTCTGTTTTTTATTTCTTTAACATCTGCTTTTTTGGCACAGGTGAAGCAATGTGCTAAATGCCAAGAAACTTACTTGTGAAGAGCTTTTCCTCCTAAGGGGAGTGCTCCCCAACAATTCAGTACTGGGATTCCTTCATATATCTACAAGGTAGTCAAGGATATTACTATTTGAGGAGGTAAAAATGTGTTTCCCTCACCTCTGCACTTCTACTCTACATCAGCTTGGCTGGCTAACTTCTTAAGGAGTTACAGAAAAATCAGAGAGCCTTTTTTTCTTCTCCAAAGAAAATAGCTAAACATGCACACACAAATACATGGTAAACAACAGACACAGAGCTCATCTGTTACAGCTCGGGTGTCCAATGAAGTAGCCACCGTCCACATGTGGCTGCTGAGCACTTGAAATGTGGCTGGTGTGAACTAAGATACACTAATAAGAATAAACTCCACAACAAATTTAGAAAACTGAGTAATAAAAAAAAAAAAAACCTATAAAATATACCATTATAATTTAGTGTTAATTCTATACTTAAATGATAATTTTTAAATGTATTGGGCTAAATAAAATACACTATTAATTTCATCTCCTTCATTTGTATTTGTAAAATTTGTAGCTCTTAGAAAAATTTTAAATTATATATGTCTCACACTGTATTTCTATTAGAGCTGAGAGGACAGTGAACGATATTGTACTATGGATTTGCTACCTTATTTTACATGTTGTTTTTCCTGATGTTTTATAAAGTACATTATTTATGAAAAGCAAAAAGTCTATGGGTAGGAACACTGGCTTTGGAGACTAACATGGGTTTGTATCTTGGCTGTACACGTCTATTAACTTGGGTCAGCCACCTGTCTCAACTTTCCACTTCTCAATATAATACTTTTTGTCACAGGGTTGTTATGAGACTTACACACAAAATACTTCCTATTTTAAAAAGCTACTGCCTAATTCAGTTCCTGAGCAGCTAATGATCCTTGATTTCCTTCCCATGATTATTTCTTCTAACAAACACACCACATACAGATCTCAAAATTCCAAGAGTTTTGCACTTATGTACTTCAAATTCCTTTTCAAATGTAGCAAATATCTACTCTAATGTTTGTAAGAAATATTTATACCTATATTGTACTTAAATTCATTTAATGACTGGAAACGGACCAGTTTATAGTCAGTAATTTCATTTTGAAACAGCTGAAATCACTAGGGAGTTCTTCCCAATGGCAAATGATACAAAAACTGCAGCCCTTACTGTGTGAGTTATGTGCCAGGTTCTACACTAAACACTTTACACATGATCCCACTCTAGTCACACAACGCCCCCTGAGGTGCAATTGTTACAATTCCCATTTCACAGATGAGGAAACTGGGGCCAAGGGGAGATTAAGCCACCTGCCCAACATCATACAACTAGAAAGCTTAGCTGAGACTTAAACTTATATATTCGATTCCAAACCCCAAACTCATAAACCCTATGCCATACTGTCCTCATGATAGCCTCAGGAAATTGAGAGGGAAAAAAAAGGAATTTACTTTTCGACAGTGAGCCCTTCAGTTATTTTTAAGGAAGATCTCATGCTGCCATTAAGTTTTAATTTTTCTTGATTTAACTATCTCATTTGTTTACAATTACTCTTCATGTGACTTATCTTAAAACCTGACTATCCTATCCAACTTCTTTGATCCTAGATCTGATCTCTGGAGTGTATACTGGGATCAAGCCATAATGACAATTTCTACAGAAAATACATTTAAATCTCAAAATCCCGTGAATTTTTTCCACATATGTCATATTTGTACATGATAATCCAAAATAGCTTGATGCAACAAAAACAACTTGTAGTAAGCCTAATTATTTCAAACTAGAGTAAAAACTGCAAAATTAGCTGGTTTACAAAAAAGATACAGGTAACACCAGGCTCTCCCTATATCCACAATCCAGGACCATGGCAGAGTTTATCCCAAGTGTAAGAAGGGCCATTAGATGACTTGGAGCAAGCAAGACAGACGGAACCTAGAACAACAAAACCAGAGTGAAAGTCAGAAGCTGAAGGTGTTTCCCTCACATTTCAAATATATTTGAAAAAATTCATAATTATGATTCTTATTCAACCATTCTATAGCACTAAATAACTGATTTACTTGAATTCATACATAATCAAAATATACTGTAATACAGAAAAACATTCTTTAAGTTCTATAAGTTGTTTCATTTTGAAATAACAATTATAAAGCATTTCTATTAACTCAGTTCTTTCTCTTTTGAAAGAAAAACTGAACACAATGAAACTGGAAACAAGAAAATGCTAAATTTAAAAAATAAAGAAATGTCTTTATCATTTTTTTTTTTTTTTTGCCCAGCCTGTGCACATGGGATGTGTGAACAGGTTGTGTGAAGCACTAATTGATTTAATTTTAGTAATTTTTTTCTTGATTTCTTTTTTTAAATTAATTTATTTATTTTAGTTGGAGGCTTAACTATTTTACAATATTGTAGTGGTTTTTGCCTTACGTTGACATAAATCAGCCATGAGTGTACATGTGTCCCCCATCCTATTTCTCTCTACTTATATCAGATAAGAACACTAACATAAACACAACTCAAATGATGATAAAGACATCTTTTTTTTTTAATTTAGCATTTTCTTTGAATGTATGTTTCTGGACCATCTCTTTATTGTTTTCAGTTTTTCCTCCAAAAGAGAAAGAACTGAGTTAATAGAAATGCTTTATAATTGTCATTTCAAAATGAAACCACTTATAGAACTTAAAGAATGTTTTTGTGTATTCAGTATATTTTGATTATGTGTGAATTCAAGTAAATCAGTTAATTCTTTATTTAGTGCTATAAAATGATTGAAATAGAAACAGAGAAAAAGAATTCTTGACTGTCCTTACTCTCAAAGTTTATAATATGAATCATATTTTTTAAATGTTATAATATAGTAGTTAAAAACAAAAGTGAAGAACTACAAAAATCCTTAGTTCTAAGTGACACTTTTCAGTGAAAATCCTACCAAATCTAACACCCTAAATATCAGATAAATGTTCAATCAAAATATGGAAGTCCATCATAATCAAATGGCAAACAAAATAATGGATATATTTCCCTTGTCTAAGTACAGCAGGTATTCTGGTAATATACCAGGTAAGAACACAAACATAAACAAAACTCAAATGCTAAGTTCCAGTAAAAATACAGAAAATCATCTATTTTATTTAGATAAGAGCTGAAGTGACTTCTTATTATGTTTTGCATTCTCTCTACTGCAAACCGAATTCCTGATTTAGTGACATCAGTTAAGTACAGGAGGGTATGTAACCTGTTACTCTGTATCTGTCCTACTAAATTATAACTTAGAAAAATTAACCGCCCTTATCCCATAAATAAATTGTAATTTTTGCTATATTTTGTGTTCAGTAGAATATATGAAAATTACATTTACATGTGCTCAATTTCTTACATATTGTACACATTTTATACACTCTTGCTAAGAAACTTTAAATTTCCAATGCAGAGACTTTTAAAATGTTAAATAATAAAGATTTTGGCCTACTATGAAATGTAATATGTCATAATTTTAGTCTTTAAAATAATCTTACTTAACTCATATAAAATGATAGTTATGAATAATATCACTAATATCAAGATCTAAGAGTCATTCCTGGCATTGTCCACTTGCTCTATGGGAAACATTATCTGAATACTTCATTTAATAGGAATTTAAAGCCTATGAAATGAAAATGAAAGAGCTGGAAAATTAAGAACAGTCAGCATACCTAAAAAATGAAAACTAGAGAGACCTGGAAGAAAAACATCATAAACTTCACCAAAGAAATTTTCACTTCAGGAGAAAAAAAAACCAACCCAAAACTTAAAACCTGTAGTAAAATAAGTAAGAGAAAGAGCAATAAATAAGAATCTTCAATTATCTGATTATCTATGCATTAGATAAAATGCTAATTATACATGAAATAACTATGCAAAGAAAACAGATGGTCAGTTTATTTTGTCATCCAATTCCTCTTTTCAACGAAGGAAATAAAATGAGGACCTTTTAGTTTAAGCTTTGAGTACGTACTAAAAACAACATAAAAAACAGGTACCTCAAAATACTTGAAAAGAACACGAGTGAGTGTCTCTCTGAAGTGGGAAGGACATAATACAGACTCGATAACCACGACTCTGCGGTCTCTGGGATTCACCAATAGATGCCTGAAAAGTAATATTTTTAACAGTTTAAAAGTTTGTATTTTTGCACATAATGCAATTTGTTAAGGTTAAAGAAACTGTACCACTTCACTTAAGAAGCTTTATAACAAAAAGACATCTTCATTTTATGATCCACGAAAGACAATGTTTATCACTGAATATTTTCATCTTATAAAATTTTTAATTCAATTTTTAAAGGTTATTTTCCATTTACAGTTATTACAGAATATTGGCTATATTCCCTATGTTGTACAGCACAGCCTTGAGCCCATCATACACCCAGGAGTTTGTGCCTCCAACTCCCTACCCCATATGGCCCCACTGATAACCTTTAGTTTGTTCTCCTTGTCTGTGAGTCTGCTTCTTTTTTGTTACATTCACTAGTTTGTTGTATGTTTTAGATTCCACAAAGAAGTGATAACATACAACGTTTGTCTTTCTGTCTGACTTACTTCACCTTGCATGTGTCAGTCACTCAGTCATGTCCGACTCTATGAGACCCCATTCGCTATAGCCCCCCAGGCTCCTTTGTCCATGGAATCCTCCAGGCAAGAACACTGGAGTGGGCAGCCATTCCCTCCTCCAGGGGATCCTCTTGACCCAAGGATCAAACCCAGGTTTCCTGCATTGCATCTGAGCCACCAGGGAAGCCCTCACTTCGCATTATGCCATTCAAATCCATCCATATTGCTACAAATAGCAAAATTTCATTCTTTTTTATGGCCGAGAAGTATTCCATTGTATATATCAATATATATGCCACAGAAAGACAACATTTTTGATCTCTTATTATATGCCATGCACTGTGTCAGGAAATTTACATCTATTTATTCATTTATCTCAGATAACAAAAACAACAACCTATTATGAATACTAACTTGAGTAATTAAAAAGATGTTTCTTTTTTTAAGCTACAAAAGTAGCATACACTCACAAGACTCCAAATATTATAGAACTTTATAACTTGGAAAGTACAAAAATACCTTATACCTCTTCTAACCAGAAACTATTACTAACAGCAGTTTGAATATTTTCATTACTGTGTTTTGTCATTTAGTCGCTAAGTCGTGTCTGACCCTCGAAACCCCATGGTCTGTAGCCTTCCAGGATCTTCTATCCATGCGATTTCCAAGGCAAGAATACTGGAGTGGGTTGCCATTTCCTTCTCCATCATTACTGTGTATGTATATGTATATATTTTAACAGAAATATTCATCTCATAGATGCTGTTCTACGAGACTTTAATTAACAATATGTAAGACATTTCTGTATCAGTACATATGGATATAAAACTTTTTTGACAATACAGTGTTTCACTATATGGATCTATTAATACAGTAATTAAATTATCCAATTCCCTTTGCTAATGGACACAGTATTTCCTTATGCTTGCCAGTTTTCTAGTCTTCAAACATGCTTCTGAAAAGACTGGAAATGAAAAAGTTAAAATGGCAATTGAAAATTAACCTTTTCTTTTACATTAGAAATAATATGACCAAATATCACTATTATGGGCTCTAGGAAAAGCTGGAGGGCAGGGGGCAAGGAAAACACAATTGCATTTTACCTGAAATACAGTATATGGATGAATTCCTTTAGGTAGGAATATAGTTCTTCTGTGTTGATGTTATATTGTACAACTTTGATAGGCTACAAAAAATTAAAATGATTTATTAGTTTATAGTAATAAAATAAGCTCAAATTAAACATGCTTATTTATTTTACAAATGAATTTTCTGGTAATAAATCAAAAGCGATTTGTATTTAGAATAGATGCAAATATTAAAATAGATTAATCACTTAAATTAGAAATCTTTAAGAACTGGTATGTCCAAGATGACAAAACATTTTGGTTTACAGAATAAGTCTGTACACACAGTGAGTAAAGCTCATTACATTTTTCTTTCATCTGGCATTATTTTGGCATCATCAGTAAAAAGCAGCATCAACTAAAAAGCATCAAAGCCTTCATCAAATACTCCAGACTTGGTTCAGTTCCTGTTATTTAGTCCCAAAGCACTGACACTTGTCTTTTTGTAGTATTACTCCACTTGATATATTCTCTTTTAGTTGATATAGGGACAGTCCCAAAGTAAATCAGCTCATAAATATGTGTGGTAGAATAAAAACATGCACCATTAGCAATAAAGCAAACACTACCAAACCAGGGTGCTAAGTCACTGCTAATAAATCACAAGGCCTCCATTCACTGCACCCTGCTCCAACTTGTGCTTTTATGAAAACAAAAAGGCTCATATTTGTTAATAAGGGAATAATGTCTATATAATAAGGAAGGTTGTACAGTTCACATTAGGCAAGAGGAGCTGAAATGATAATAGCAGAGTTAGAACCTTCATCAAGGTAAAGAAAGTCATCAACTCAGTGATCACAGAAATGGGAATTCTTTCAGATTTATTTTTAAAAAGTTTAAATGACCCAGTGTACCAGGGGCTACCATACCAGAGTGAACCCTTTCAAGACCTTTTATAGGGCTGCATTTCTTCCTGGTCCCACCCTAACAAGAGGCTCAGAGCTCACTTCTGTATCTTCATGGTCTCAGCATCCATCAACCAAGCTTCAACTATTTCATTTTATTTTAAATATCCCCAAGAGAGCCTTCAGCTCAGTTGCATCTTAAAGTTATTCCAATTTTTCCTGAGGTATTAATTTTTGTTTTTGCTGGGGCTCGGATTACAAAGTTACAAGGGTTTTCAATTACCTGCTCCAACCCTATTTTTCCCCAAAACCGGTCTTTGTTCGCAATCAAGGAGAGGTTTTTCAGGAATGCAAATGCGGAGTTATGGTAGAAATATCTATATGTGATTTTAACAAGCAAATCTTATGGCATGCAAAATTATTTTTTATTGTTCTACAACTTCTAATCTGCAAAATTAACTTTGGCAAGAAAGTTTCTTTTAAAAAATGTGTTTTTCACAGGTCCTTTGAATTACAGATAAAGAAATGAGAATCTGGCTCATATTTTTGAACAGGGTAAGAATAAAATGATTCTATAATTACATTACAAAGCTCATGCAATTATTTTACTAAGTTTAAAAACTTTCTCTTAATGTTATAGAATTACATTTATATCCAAGTTGTACAGAAAGAGCAAATCTATAGAGACAGAAACAACATCCATGGTGGCGTGGAAATGAGGATCAACTATAAACAGACATTAGAAATCTTATTAGAATGATAAAAATGTTCTAAAACTAAACTGTGATGATGGCTGCATAACTTGATATATTTACCAAAAATCACTGAATCGCATGTTTAAAGTAGGTGAATTTTATGGTATGCAAAATTAAACCTAAATAATCAAAAAAGTTTTCTTGGGTTATAGTCTAAGCTATACATTTAGCACTGTTCTAATCAATCTTATTTGAAGTCACATTTAAAAATATTTTACAGTACAGCATTTATTTTGCTAATTTGTTAAAAAAAAATACCTTAGGCATGCCAGCTTTTTTAATCACACTGGGAATTATACATCTTGGACCAGTTTCTCCAGCAAATCCACACCTGCAAATAAAATAGAAAATTGATACATTCAACTATTATAACATTCTTTCTATTTATTTGTCACAGAAACAAGGTTTTTCTGTATTTTTTTCAAAGCAGTGGTCACAAAAACATCTAGAAACATCTCTGATGTATTCAAAGGGGCAAAAAAACTAAGGAAAAGTCAATAATTGCTGTGTCCTACTCTTTGCAACCCCATGGACGTCCATGGAATTCTCTAGGCCAGAATACTGGAGTAGCTTTTCCCTTCTCCAGGGGACTTTCCCAACTCAGGGATCGAGCCCAGGTCTGCGGTATTGTAGGTGGATTCTTTACCAGTTGAGCCACACAGCAAGACCTAGAATACTGGAGTGGGTAACCTATCGCTTCTCCAGCAGACCTTCCCGACCCAAGAATTGAACCGGGGCCTCCTGCATTGCAGGCAGATTCTTTACCAACTGAGCTATCAGGGAAGCCCATTCATAAATAAACTAAAGGTAAAAAAATAAAATCACTTTGAATTAGTACTAGTGAAATAAATCAGTGTATTATTTGACGGTAGCATTTACTTTTCAGTTTTTAATTTTATTTGAATTTTAGGTAACATGAGTCTGAACTCCCGTTTCTGATTTCATTCCTATAGTTCATGTTACTTATAATTCCATTATTCTAATATTAGTTTCCATACTGAAGTTTCCTTTGGTCTATTTTTAAAACTATGCATATCTGACATAATTATAATCACACTGTTCATATAACATGAATTCATAAAATAAGCTTCTGCCCAAACTATTAGTTTTCACCGCCATCATTCTTTTAATTGCATAAAATATTTCATCCTTTTTTAAAAAAAAAACTTTCCTTTTTTGACTATTTAAGCATTTCCATTTCTGTTTCCCATAAAACAAAACTTTGCTAAAAATACTATTAAAAACGATTACCATGTAAGTTCAGTCTCAGTATTATCTCTTTTTGTCCTGTCTGGTTTTCAGTACTCATCTCCTCCTATTCCCAAATAGCTTTCTCCATCTTCTTTTAGTTACACCCCCATGTTTACCTGTATCAATGCTCCTCAAACTCTAGGACGTAACCCACTGGCTGGATGCATAAACCCATCTCATCACCTTCCTGTTGTCTTTGTCAATAACCATCCTCCTATATACTAGCATTCCACTTCTCATTTCCTCACTACACCTAAAGTAATTATCTTTGGGTGTCAGCCTCAAGGTACTTACTATGCTATTAAAACAAACCTTTAAAATAAATTTAACAATGCATATGTCGGAAGATCTTGCATAGAACAGTAAAAGAATATCATGAACCAAGAACTATGTTTAATTCAATTATGGAGCACCTGATGTCCAATTCTTTCTGGTTTTTTGGTTTTTTTTGGCCATGCTTGGTAGTTTATGGGATCTTAGTTTCCCAACCAGAGATTCAACCCAGGCCCTTGGCGGTGAAAGCACCAAGAACTAACCACTGGACCGCCACGGAGTTTCCTCCAATTTCTTAAACAGGCTCTTCTGACCACTTGCTCAACAAATACTTATTAAACACACACTGTATGTCAGGCACTATTCAGGAATATACAAATTTTTTTCAAATAGTTTCCATTACATATATGCAATTCTGGCTGTCACGTTCCTTTTTTCTTGAGAACAGTGCAAGGGTTCTCAATCTGGACTCCACAGACCACTGCGATGGTCCACCAAGCCCTGAAATTGTATTTTAAGGTTTGTGTATTTGTGGCTTTCTTTCGGCCATCAATAGGATTTATATCATCCAAAAGGTTGAGAATCACTAATCTAGTGTTTACAAATTGCCTTTTAAAATACAGTACATTTCCTAATCTAAAAGATGTAGGGAGGGAGGTGGGGGACAACAAAGGATCTCTAGTATCTACAGGGTTTCAGATCGTTACGCATTTGTCTTCCTAATTCGACGTCCCACTCTTGGGAAGCAATATACATTTGAATTTCCAGCACCAATAACATCTCTGTTCAATAAAAGTTTAATAATGAAGGCCGTCATCAAGCATTACAGTTCGGCTGCCACCTTCCTAAGGAGATAAAACTAGGATAAGCGGGGCCTAGGTCATCGCTGTCATCCCCTGCATACAGATGACCCCAAAGGGTCCGTTCAGTTTGGGGGTGACGACAGGGTCGGCAGTGAAGGCAATTCTCTCGAAGCCTCTTGGGCCTCTCTGGGAGTCAGAACCAGACCGCCCACCGGATCCCCGGGATTCGCACCGCCCACGGTGCAGGTAACAGGGGCCGTCATTTAAGAAGGTCCCGGGGGCGAAGCGGAGGCTTAAACAGCCGTCCCCGAGACTGCGGTGAGGACCGGGGCTGGGCCTGGGGCTCGGCTACCCGCCCTCCCTTCCGGACGCGGCCACTCACTTGGTAAAAGCCTCTCCCAGGTCTATCACGACCGCCGTTTTCTCCCCGCCGCTTCCCAGACCCTCGTACAGCGGCATGGTAGCGAACAGGCCGGTAAGCAGCCGGAGACCGACCGACCCGGCAGCCGACAGATCTCGGCGCTCGGGGGGCGGGGCCGGGGGACGGCGAGCGGGCGGCGGCGCCGGCGGGGACCTCGCGTGGGCGCGGCGCACGGGGCCCGGGCTGTCCCTGGCTGTGCCTCACTCCGCGTCGGTCCTGAACCCCCGCAGGCGCCCGCGTCCTGGGCACTAGGGAGCTACGGGTGCATGCGGCCGCCCTTCCGGACACAGGTTGGGTGGGGCGTGGGAAACACCGAGGGCCGAGGCGGCCAGGCGCGCCGGGCACCCCTGGCTGGGGCGGAGCCAAGCCCGGGTCCTTCCCTCCGGACCGCCCCTTGGGGCGGTCTTAGGAGCGCTTTTGTGGCTTAGGTCTCAGAACGCGTCTATTGCCGATCTCTCTCAGACAAGACATGACCCCAAAAGCTTTGATTCGTGCCGTCTGGGGACAAATTTTGCTGTGCCAGGTGTTTTGCCTATCATTTATTCTTCGCGAGAAACACAGAAAGTTGGTTACTTCCTTGCCTGTTGGAACCTCCGAATGTTCCCAGTACCCCCATCTAAAGCCAGGATTGGCCCTGAAGATTCTGATTTCAAACCGTGCTGCTTATCCCTTAGGGAAGAACAAGTAAAGACAAATTTCTATTTGGTAGTCATTCGGCTGAAAGTTAATTTTAATCTACAATACTACCAAGGGGGTTTAATGGAAGGAACATTGAACCAAGGGTCCTGTTTAAAATTGAGAAAAGTTACTGAACTATCTTTCTGTGCCCACGCATGCTAAGTAACTCCAGTCGTGTTCGACTCTTTGCAGCGTTATGAACTGTAGCCCCCCAGGCTCCTCTGTCCATGGGATTCTCCAGGCAAGAATGCTTCAGTGGGTTGCCATTTCTTTCTCCAGGGGATCTTCCTGGCCGAGGGATCAGACCCGGGTCTCCTCCCTTGACCTGGGAATTCTTTACCACTAGCGCCACCTGGGAAGCCTCTGTGCCAATATGAATACACAATAGAAAGTCTATGATATGGACTAGTAACTTTGTCATTTCACAGCTCTTTTCTTTCTTCTGAAATTGCCCATGAAAACTGGAGTCTGGTGTAGGTTGCTGCCTTGTCTCTCTGACTATAGAAAGAGAAATTATCTGTCTTCTGTTTTTCCCCAGTGTGTCTTTCTTACTGTAGATGCCTGAGCCTGTCTACTGAGGGATACGTTCTTTCTATAAGAGTGCATAAGCTTGTCCAGTGTGACAGTAGAATTCACTAATCAGTGGTCTTCCTGAAAGTGAGTTGCTAGAGGTAAGAGGATGTAGTTGGAGTTGTGATGAGGAAGGAAACTTCACAAAGAGAAAGAATGAAGCATTTTGCTTACTAGAGTCAGTGTTTGAATAGGACTCTTCTCTTGGATTTAAATTCTGTTTCTGTTAAGAGTCTAATACTTTTGATCATCCATTTTCTTTTTTTTTTTATTTTCTTATCTTGTAAACTGTCCTTCCTTTTCTCAAGGTATTTGAGAAGATCAATTGACATTCTGTTTTCCCTGACTGCTCACCAACTGTATTAGTTTTCCAGGGATGCCATTACAAAGTACAACGAACTGAGTGGCTTGAAACAATAGAAATGGGGACTTCCCTGGCAGTCCAGTGGTTAGGATGCCACACTTCCACTGCAGAGGGCATAGGTTCTATCCCTGGTCAGGGAAGTAAGACACCACATACCCTGTGGCACAACCAAGAATAAAGGTTAAACAATACAAATGTATCCTCTTATAGTTGTAGAGGCTAGATGTTTGAGACTAAGGTGTCAGAAAGGCCGTGTTCTCTGTGAAGGCTCTGGCCTCTTTCTAGCTTCTGATGGGTGCTGGCAGCCCTTGGGCTTCCTTCGTTGGTAGATGCATCACTTCAGTCTCTGTCTCTGTTGTCACCTGGGCTTCTTGTGTCTCTGTCTTTGTGCAACATTCTCTTCCCAGTGTTTTCACATTTTCCTTCTTGTAGTTCTCTGAGTCCAAATTTCCCTCTAGTCAGTTGGATTAGGGCCCTGATCCTAAACCAGTATGATCTCATTTTAACTTGATTTTATCCACAAAGATTCTAATTCCAAATAAGATCACATTTTAAGTTTCCCAGTGGAAAAGAATTTGGGGGGAATACTGTGCAACACATTCGGGGTTGGGCAAATGTTGGGCAACATTTTGCCCAACAGCTAAATGTTCTCTTCCATAGCCCTGCCCTCAGACTTCTTTTCTTCTTATTGTATACTGTCTCTTTTAATAACCTCTTTCACTCCCCTACATATACCTAGAGCTAATATTTGTTGAGTTCTATTTGCTAGCCCTATTTGTTGTATGTAATCCCATTGATTTCTCACAATAGCTTTATGTGCTCAGTGTGCGTCAGTCATGTCCAACTATTTGTGATCCCATGGTCTGTAGTCCACTGACTCCTCTGTTCCCAGGATTCTCCAGGCAAGAATATTCAAGTGGGTTGCCATGCCCTTCTCCACAGTAACTTTCTCCATCTTACAAATGAGGATACTGAAGCCAAAAGATATTAAATCACGTGCCCAGGGCCTTTCAACCCATTAGTAATAGAGCAGGAATTTGAACCCAGACTGTCTGACTCCAGGCCAAAACTATATGGCTAGATTATAACGCAGTTTTATATTATTTCAAAGAATTATATTTTATTGTAGAATTGTACAATCTTAGTATCTGAAGTGATATAAAAGTTTTTCAAGTATCAACTCCAACCTGATATAGGACTTTAATGTCCATCTGTGATGAGAATTACCTCCTTGGATGATTCCAGTGATGAATAGAGAACTCATGACTGGTTGGGATCTACAAGATACTGAAAATACATTTGCTATTACATGTAAAGTTTTAAAAAGAAAAGGGAAAATGCTACAAGAATCACTTTTCCCCCTTTGGCCATGCTCTGCAGCATGTAGGATCTTATGCTGTCAATTGACAAGAAATGATGGGCCCAAATCATGAAGCCCTTTACTAATATGCCAAGGAGTTTTGACTTTATGCTAGTTATTAGTCACTGTTCAAAATATGTTATGTACAAGAAAGACAATGTCAAGTTTGTGTTCAATTTAATCAGTTTGTGTTCATTTATTGTGAAGTGGGATAGACTAGGATGAAACCAATTTGCAAACTATTACAAGAGCCCATGAGAGAAATGGGGCTTCCTAACTGGCTCAAGTGGTAAAGAATCTGCCTGCCAGTGCAGGAGATGCAGGACATGCAGGTTCAATCCCTGGGTCTGGAAGATCCCCTGGAGGAGAAGTAAATGGCAAACAACTAGTATTCTTGCTGACATAATCCTGTGAACAGGGGAGCCTGACAGGCTACAGTCCATGGGGTTGCAAAAGAATTGGACACAACTGAGCAGACACAGAACAGGAGATAAATGATGACTGTTAATTAGAGAATTGTATATGTGACAAATTACCTTTAAAATGTTATCCATTTGGAAAGATGTAATTCTTTATTTATTAAGAATAAAATTGTAATAAGGTATTGATGACAATTTGGAGCTGTTTTCTCAAGCACTGTGTGAGAAAAATAATATTCTGATTTAATCAACCATTAAGTTACATGATCAGAAAGACTTTATAGTTTCAATTTTATTAGTGCCTCCTAATTAATCCTTTCTAAAGTACAAGATGTGATCATAATTGCAGATCTCATAATGTAGCTTTATTTTTAACCTCTTTCTCAACTACTTCTGCAGGTTATATCACCAAAATGAAAACAATAACTAACTCTTGAACCCATGTTAACAAACTGTTCATTCTTCATCATCAAAGCACTCCTCAAAGCTAATGATCACTTCTGTCTCTAGGAATAACTCACTGGCTTTAACTCAGAGGCCAGTTTTGGGTCTAGAGTGTCTGGTAAAGTGGCCTAACCTTTAGGCTTGTTGAGTACATCAGAAAAGCACTTCAGTTTTTAGTTGATGAACAAGAGTTTTCACCAGCACCTATTGGTGCTGAATATCTCAAGTCATTGCATTTATAGCCGGAAACCTGTGTCCTAGTCACCTGTCATTCAGTCTTTTCCTATCCTAATCAGTTACAGAGTCCTGCAGTAAGTTCAGTATAAAGCTAATCTGCTCCACTCCTACTCTGCAATCAAGATTATGACACTAGCTGCTTAATTGGCCTCTCCATCTTCTCCACGGTCCATTTTCTGTATTGCAGGCAGAATGACCACTCTCATATGTGAATGCAATCATGACACTTTTTGCTTCAAGTTTTTCTTTTTTCTTTCTTTTAAATCATTGATTTACTTATTTAGCTGTACTGGGGCATCATTGTGGCATGTGAGATCCTCAGTCTTTGTTATGGCATACAGGATCTTTAGTTGCAGCATGTGGGATCTAGTTCCCCGACCAGGAATTGAACTCAGGCTCCCTGCATTGAGAGTGCAGAGTCTTAGCCACTGGACCACCAGTGAAGTCTCTGCTTGACTTTTGCTGTTTTTCAGATAAGGCAGTAGCTATATACCAACCTGCCAGTTTCCCAAATATATCCTGCTGCTTCACACCTCTCATAATGCGCCTGGAATGCCTTCCTTATCTGGCATCTTTTTTTGTAATCTTTCCAAACTCTGCTGAGGTATCACCTCCTCTGAAAAACTTTCCCTGACCCCTAGTTTATTAGTATATTTAGATCCTCTTATCTGAGCCTTCATGGCATCCTATGCACATTACAGCACATTAAAATATTTTTGTCTGCTTAGGTTACTATTGTATCCCTAGTGACCTAACAGAGCACCTGGCATATAATAGGTTCTGGATAAATATTTGATAAGTGACTAACACTTATTACTGTAAAGTGATCTCTTATTTACTGTGCCTTCACCCAGACAGCAGGGGGTTTGTAGACTAGCACCTGGTATAGAATTGACTATGGAGCAGGCCTGGCCCTCATTCATTTTTTGAATGGATAACAGTGGCATTGGGGCTTCCTAGGTGACT